AATATGCATATATGTTAATATATTAATTAATTATATATATTAATATATATATAATTATAAAATGGCACTGATAATATCATATATATTTTTTATTTCCTAATATGTGGAGGGTATTATTATATAGTTAAAGTTTTGTCTTTTTTTCTCCTATTCACTTTTCTAATACATATTATATTTTTATTTCATAATTTTTTTATCATATATAAGTGAGGTAATTGGTTTTTTGAAATTGATAAATTCGGAAATAATAATTTTGATATAAATATTATAATAAAGAATAAATCAGTATAAATATAAAGATAAGGGCATATTTGTCAATTTATAATTCCCTCCCCTCCCCTCCCCTCCCTTTATGAACCAAATAAAAAATCTCCCTTTTTTCTCCTCCCCTCCAACCAAACAAAACTCATGACTTCCCTTCACCTCCTCTTCTTTTAATTAACCTCCCCTCCCCTCCACTCCACTGGGTGTCCAGGGCGTTGAAGGTGATGAAATGGTGGAGGAGGCAGGGCGGGGACCAGGGCAGAAGGGGACGGCGAGCCGCACCGTAAACTTTCCAGGGGTGCCGAGACAATCAGGACGGCTCAAGGTTTCGGTTAGGCTAACGCCTGTCAGTCCAGTAACGCCCACAATGAGTGCTACGAAGTTGTTCCGAGCTGAGAGCTCCATGCTGAGATCTTGGGAAAACTGGCAAAACACTCGGATACACGCAACTGATAGTGGACGATGGCCCTTTGAAGTTGTATTTAAGTCCACCTAAAACGCAGATTAAATTTTAATTTGGAAAAACTAATCTGTCGGTCCCAGTAGTTTCATCAAATTTTGAATCAGCTCCCTCCATTTTTTTTTTTTGCCCTTTTATCCACTCCTTATTGTATGCTTCGTTACCTTTGGAAGTCCTTCAGTCTATGAATATGAATTTGCCGTTAGTGGGGTGACATGACTTTCTTACTAAGCACAAACACTGGGAATGAACTGGGTATAATGCGATAGGAGAGAGAGTCATTGGAAAATAAAATGACACAAATGCTGTCCTGTGTTTCAGACTTCAACCATCTCCATCTTCAATTCTTCTCCCCCACGGCTTCTTCAATACTTTCACCACCAACGCTCCTTCACAATGTGAGCTACTTATGGCATGTTCTAGAGAAGAAACTTCATCTCCATATCAGTATTATTGGCCACATCGACCACAGTAAGTAAATATTATTTTGTCTTCTCTAGTCCGTACAAATCGGTCCCCAGCCTCCAAAAGCAAAGCCGTAATTGAAGTAAAATTTCATCAGACAATTAAAAAAAGAATGATTTTACAATTTTTTTTCACTTGGCCCATTTTATTTGGTACGTGTAATAAATTATATAGAATGGTGGAGGATTGTGGAGGGATTAACGAAGGAAGAGGAGAGATGAGATGTATGGGGATGTGAGTTTGGGGAAGTTTAGAGAGAGAGGAGGAGGAGGAAGAGTAAGAAGGGGGGAAAGTATGAGCTTGGAGAAGTAAAAGCTGTTGCGAATCGTCAGTGGAAAATCCTTGAGAGCTGGAGGGGGAGGGGAAGAGAGAGAAGAAAGTGGAGTGAGGGACAGGGAGGAGAATAACCGAAGAAAAAAGTTGATGTCCATTTTTTTTTTTTAGTGTTAATGCTTGTGCTGAGTAAGATGGCCCCATCGCCTCCACTAACGGCAAATTAATGTTTCATGAACGGAAGGATGTGAATAGATAACAGACCATACAATAAAAAATGAATAAAAAGGAGAACAAATAGAAGGAGTTGATTTCAAATTCAATAAAATTATAAGAACTGACAGATTAGTTTTCCTTTTAAGTTTTCTTCTTTCCTTACTTATCCGGTAGCGTTCTGTCCATGTATGATTTTAGGCAACTTAGCCAACAACTTTTCTTTCAAGGTTACATCTATCTTGTGTATTTTAAGCAACTCGCCGGCAGTTTGGCTCAGAGTTGCCCCCTCAATAAAATATAATAATGTGCTAATAGCAACGCCCAAAAGTGGGAGTAGAAGACAAGTGACCCTTACTTAACGCGAATGACATTGTAGCATGGGGGACTCCCTTATTACTCGCGTTGTTCGCTCGTCGTCGGCGATTCACAAATGATGTTAAATATTTGAATAATTTGAGTAGATAAAAAAAAAGTCAAATCAGTTATTTGTAATAAATAGGTGTTGTCTTTCTTAAAATATTCTTACTGATCAAGTTTATTAGCTAAAACTACCATTATTAAAAAATTATCTTAGAAAAAAATGAATAAGTATGAGAGACAAAGTAAATTGGAGTCTTATATTTAGAACCAAAATAAAAGTTAAACGAGGTCTTATATTAAGAACTAAAGATAGTATCTGAGACTTACTAACTTCCATTGTTAATATATGAACTAGTTAATTAATTTGAATAGATTAAGAAAATTTGTCAAGTTAGTTATTTGTAATAAATATTATCTCCGATTCTATTTATAAGACCTTATTTGTATATTATAAATGATGTCTTATAATTAGAACCGGAGGTAGTATGTGATATCTTTCCTAAAATATCCTTATTAATCATGTGTATTAGCTATAACTATTATTTGATAAAACTTTTAACATGTACAAGTAAATACAAGGGTTACTTTAGGAAAAAATAATAAATTATAAAAATAAAATTGATTAAAATCTTATATTTATAATCAAATTATATATCAAATTAGTTTTTATATTAAACATAAGAGGTGGTATTGTAGAGTTAATATGATGCGAGTTTAAAGTTACCTTACAGTTTGTCCTTACATGACATGGGGAAATTTATACTGGGGTATGTTGAAAGCTTTGTACGTAATTTATACGTAGAAGTTGCAAGCATGAGATGCTGCTAGGCTAATAAAGGCGCAGAGAGAAGATGAATAGACACATCAAAGTACTGGGCATTGGGAAAAGTGAGAAGTGTCTAATTGGAAGAAGCATCATGATGATGATGAAGAAGAAGAGTTGAATAGAGGAGGTGATTCCAGGAATCTGGAATGCCAGGAAGGCACCAATGGCTGCAATCCTGTACCATGGTCCTCGGAGGAGGACTTGGGCCTCTGTACAAGGAAGGGTGGCCATCTTTTCTGTACTCTGTCATCCTGGAAATGTTAAGGTAAAACACAGGCGTCTTCATGTCCGCCATCACACTCTCCAATATTCTCATCGTCCATGGATACTCCCCAACATGGCTCTCGTTCTTTATAGGCTCTCTCTCCCCCATCGCATTTGCCTCCTGACTTCCATTGCCCCCCTCTGCAATTTTGTTTATTTAGAAATTTTGTTGGGAAAAAAACTTCATCCTTCATGGTTATTCGCCAATTTACCTGTAGTGAGAAGCTGAGAATCCAGTAAAGAAGACCCTTGTGCGCGTGCTGTCAACTTTGGAATCCACCCATTTAGCCCAAGTCCTGAGGGCTTTGCCCAGTGCTTCCTTCACATCTAGTCTGTCGTAGACATGGTTTCCTTCTCGAAAATAGTTTCTCCTGCGAAAGTAAACAATTATACTGATTCGTGAGTCTAGGTTCATGGTACATTTATATCAATCAGTAAATGGATGAGCTGATTCCTACCCATTTCTAGTCTTATGGTGATTCCACCAGTGGCCCGTGTTGAATATGATAATATCAGCATCATTGTACTGAGATTTGGATGCCTGCATCATGTCAAGCCTCAGAGTTTCTCCATGAGGCGGCCCTTCGTCAAAATATGAAGAATTATTCTTCCATTCTTGGACAAGAAATGGTGATTTTATAAAGTCTATAGAGCATCCATAGTCCTGCCATGGTAATTAATCAAATATCAGAGAGATGATTGCGTGCTGCGATTAATAGTAATAATTTGCTGCTTTCATAACTCACTTTAAATCTGTAGGAATGAAAACCTTGAGTTCTCAACTCTCGCCGGGCTGAAACGAGAAACACTCTGGTTTTATCCTTGAGAGATTCCCTCAAGGACACACGAGAGACTGCCACATGTTCCTGTTCAGCGAGTCCCCAACAAACACCATCCTTTTCCCTCTCAACAACCTCAGCATTTTAAGCCCGTCGAACCTATACAATGCAAGAAAATGAAATCAAACGTGCGAGGTATAGGATCATAAGCAAGGAGGTTCAGACCTTGGAATGTGACATCCACGAGGCTTCCACCGGTACTCGAGATAATCGGAGTCAGGACGTCGATTCTTGAAGCAGTTGAAGGCGTCGTCGAGAAAAGGGCAGGAGCCAGGCGGATAAGGAGGTCGTGCGTGGCGGTCAAGAACCCAAGCTCCATCAAAGATGTCGCAAGAAGCAAGGTCTCTGATGATTTGGGATTCGTGAGCGGTGGATGAGAGGGGAGGATCGCGGGATATCTCTGCGGCAGTAACAGAAGAGAAGGCGTCGGAAGAAAGAAGGAAGCGAGAAGCAGCGACGGTGACGGCGGAGGCAGCGGAGGAGGAGGGAGAGTAATCATAGGAGTATGATCTGGAGAGGAGGTAGAGTAAGAGAAGAAGGAAGACGGTAAGAATGTGGGTTCTTGGGCGACAGAGAGGGTGCTGAGTTCTGGGGAGGAATCCCTTGAGAGTGAAGAATTGGCTCTTGAAGCACGCCATTATAGATCTCAGAGGTTCTAATCGAAGTCATGTTCAGTATTTATATGATTTTGGGGGCAGTAGGAATTCGGCATTATAAATCTTGATATATGCTCTGTCGCTGAGAAACCCGCCGTTCAGTTATTCAAAGTTCAGAAACTAGAAACGTTGATTCTTCTCCTGATTTGGATTGATATTTTTGTTGAGTTTGCTTTTGTTTATTTAACAAGTGATTAACAAAATGACTATCTTCTGTGAAAGCCTCTCAATCCATCATATTATTATTATTTGTGACGCAGTCATCAATCCGTTCGAGAGTGTAGTACTAGTACATTGCTAAATTGCCTTCCATGATAGCGCGTAATAAGAATTAATAAGAAAACGGGAATGAACTTAAACAGTGGTGTTTTTCAAGATTCAAACAATAATCAGTCATGTATTATGATAATAGCACCCATGCATACACCAAAATGAATTGATTGGGCAGTGATGAGCAGCATCAAAATCAAAATTTATACAAAAGCGAGAGCCCCCGTTAAGATGAAGGCAATCACCCATATAAGTTGAACATTATTGGCGCCTTTGCTTCCCCTGTTAATTCCTCCATAATTCTGGATGTGCTTTGCCACATCGAAGTCTCCTGCGCGCACACACACACACACATATGATCGTTAATTAATCCCCTCACCACGTACAGTGATTAGATTTGCTAATTATATAATTAAGGTTACCTCTTTCAGGGCCATATCCACATCCTGCTGTGATAGTTTCCTCGACGTCCTTTATGGTTGCCTTGTTGGCGAACAAGAAGTCGCTGAATGTGTTCTTTATGCAGCTCAGCACCAAGCTTGTCTCCGAAGCGCATGGCCCTTCGCAGAACTCCTCCGTCTTCTCCGGCGGCACGTTCAGGTATCCTTTCTCGTTCAGTCTACTTGATTCTTCACAGCTCTTATATATCTGCTGTTTCATTATTTTTTATATACATATTTCTCCTTAGTTACTCTAATTGTTTAACCTCTAAGCACTATTAATATCTTCAAAAATCAAAACATTACGTATAATATCGCTTTTTCGTGCTTACGTATTTATCATGCAAACACAGAAGGGCTTCGGACGCGATTTCTCCAGGGTCAGCTACTCCGCCTCTGCCTCCGCCGCCAAACCCAGCCCCACCACCAATTCCGCCTCCGCGACCCCCACCAAACCCAGCCCCACCACCACCACCTCCTCCAGGACCGCCACCATACCCGGCACCGCCACCACCACCACCTCCTCCTCCAAGTCCACCTCCAGGACTACCGCCATACCCAGCCCCACTGCCACAGTCAACTCCATTTCCGGCGGCACCACCAAACCCCGCCCCGCCACCTCCGGCTCCACCCCCGGCTCCCCCGTATCCGTCCTCGCAAGGCCCTGCATCATCGTCGGCTTTAATACCTGTCAAACTCAAAAGATTACCGATCGATCAATCTCAGCAAAAATAACAACGAACAAATTAACCAAACAGAACATTTTGTGGATATGTACCAAAGTTTTTAGAGAACAGAGAGATGTTAAGCAGGAGTAAAGCTACAGTCCAGAGTCTGACACTCCCTTGGAATGCCATAATGGATCGAAGCTTGTGCGGGATATGCTTTTACTTCATGATGAAAAGGAGTATTCAATGGGATCGCAATATATAGCTAATTAAGGGTAGAGTTCCCCGTGTAAGCAGTCTGGTTAGTTAAGTAGGTACTGATTTCCAAGTTAATTCAATGTAGAGCGACCAACAATATTACCTACCACAACCTTTTTGTTTATATAATAGTATGATCAAAATCAATACTTTTAAAAAACGAGAATGAGAATGTCTTTGAAGGCTGTTGACAAAGCTAAAATGATTCAGTTATTATTATAAATATATTGGCACAAACTGTAAGGCATGGTTGGTGAATTTAATTGGAAAGAGAGACCCGTTAGAGTATTTGCCGGGTAAACCCAAGGTAATGCGATGAGACTGAGATGGATGGGGGCAGTTCAAGGGCAAGCCACCAACATATCCTCACCCGAGTTCAGTAAATCAAACCTAATTAAAGTTTTCCATTTATGTTTAGTTAAACTTCTCTTATGGAACAAGTTAATATTTCTTACCGTGGGGGAACTAACAGATCATTCAGTTGGTTTCTTTGTAGAAATATCTGCTTTCTTTTGAGCTCTCGGCTATGGAGCCGGACTAACTTTGTTGGTATTTGTGTCGAGTAGTGTAAAGAGATACTCACTTTTCAAGAATGAACCTTGGCCTTCAAGTGCTACATCACAAGAAACATGCACAGATGATCAGATGTTACAACATAAATAAACTGCGCCAAACAAACTTGGGCAATGGATTTGATCTTCACTATTGTTCTTTTTTTTATTCGGCCGGGAAGTACAATATCCACAGCGGAGGAGAAACGGGTTTTCGATCCATTCCCATTTTAGGCTGTCGTGTTGTTTAATTTGATGGGTACAAGGTTGTAATGGTCTTTTAATTTCAAGGTTAAAAGGGATAAGTCTTTGAGTGATGGAAGGGGAAGGACTGGAACTTCACATGTCACTCTGCTTCTGCTTCAGGGAATACAATTTGGGCTTTGAAGATCCCTCCCAAGCTGTACGACTCTAGTTATTTAGTCATCACTTGTTCTGTGGCAGAAGCTTTTGACTATGAAAAGGGGTTTTGATTTAGCTAGCAAGGAGATTCAGATTTACATTTGAGGTACTCCATCAGACAAACCATCCACTAGAGTCATAGACAACAAAGCTTCGTGTAGTACAATCGAAGTTAGTTTAATTGATCCAATTGTTCTGCGGAGCTTGACAGCATTCTCTCTGTTTCGGATTTTCAACATTAATATGTGAATTAACCTCCCCAACCTCTCCATTTGCATCCCGGCAATTCTGTACAGTTGAGGCAGCTTGATATTATATTTAAGTGAAAATAGGAGCAGGTTGTTCATGTTCATATATAGACCCCTTCACACCTTCCTTTCCTGATTACTTACAATAGTGAAATTTAGTTTAAAAAAAGTGACTAAATTTTAACTTTATGTAAATTGAATTATAAGTTTGTGAATTGTTAATATTCCATTATTGGTTTAGAGACCATGGATATCGCACTAAAAATCAAATCACAAAGATCACATGCGTACTTTTTTTAATGTTAATTTTGAATAAAACTCAAAATATAATTTCTTAGCATACATGTTCACATGATACGTATACTTTTATATAGCTTGGGATGTTGTATTGGAATTTTCTTTTTTGATCAACGATGTTGTCATGGATCATTGACATTGATAGGGGTTTGCCAATTTGGCAGTGTAATCATTAATCTGGGAGTACAAATCTGGAGGTATTTTGTAATATATTAGGATTTAGAAATACTAAAACTATTATCAACAAGGATTGAGTTAATAAGAAAGGCTAATCAATGTGATAAATGAAGGTATTTAAATAAAAAAATTACTCAAGCTACTCATATTTCATTTTTCGACCGGTATTCATAATTTTTCTAATTTCATATATATGATAATTAAAATGGAGAAAGTTTTCCTTTTAGTAAATAAACAAATAAAAAGCGGCTGAAAATGACAGGCAGGTTCCAACTTTTAAGAAGTGTTTGGATAGAAACCAAACTATAATTTTAAAAGTGTTTTTACAATTTATAAAATAAACATATGAAAAAGTTTATCTCGTTTTATAAAAAAATTTTCGAGAAGCATTTTTGAAACTTGTCAAGCACCTCTTTGATTTCCGTTACCTCACAATGTCGTGAATTATCGACATATTAATGAGTCCATGACGCAGCTTTCTCCTCCGAAACGACGACGGGTTCAGCACTCCGACTTGACTCCCACGCTTTGCTGTTTGATCCTTCTTTCGACTCAGAGCCGTTCTCGCTTATAGAGAAACAGAGACGCGTGACGCGCAGGATCGTTAATTGGAGCTTTGGGGCACTGGCGTTCCTTGCCGGAGAAGATGAAGATCAACGTAAACACCGTCGCCCGCAAAGTGGAGGTTGACAATCGCATACCCCTCCATTATTATTATCGGATTGCCGATAATCTTCTCAAACAGGTATCGTTTGAATTTTCTTCTCCAGCGCGTCTTTGATCCCCTCTTTTCTTTGTCGTGGTGTATTTTTTTAAATTGTCGATTTGTAGGGATATTAGGGTTTTAATTCTCTTTAATTAGTGATTTCATCTCGAAGTTTCTCGAAGCTGTGAAGAGAAACCAGTGATTCGTCCGTGCATATGCAGGAGGGCTTTTGTGATTACGGATAACAAATTCATAAGTTAAAGAGCAATGGTGGTCCTTTTATTCCTGCTTCTTAGGCAGACGCCTTAGGAAATTGATATGCAGCCATATGAATATTAGTACTATTGTTTGTTGGTTTATATTTTTATACGCTATCATTGATCGTCATTGGTATAAGAGAAAATGAGCAGATTTCAAATAAGCTAATGATGGAAAGTACTGAAACTTGATCTCCTGCTTCCGAGGATTGGACAACGTCCTGATGAGTTTAAGGAACTTACATGGAATAATTAGCCGATTACAGGTCCTGTGTAGAGGATTTAAAACAATCGGGACTTGGAAAATAATAGAATGATGGATCTATTGCAACTGATAAATGAAAGATGCTAGTAATAAAAAATATTGACCCACACAACCAGTCGTGGCAATCACCTCCATGTGGCAAAATCAATAATTTCCTTCACAGTTGAGAGTAGATTGAAGAATGAATCAATTACCTCGAGATTACCGTTGCTTTTGCTGGATGAGATGTGTGCTTCGCATATGAAAGCTTTTCATCTTCAAGTATGCTGAAATGTTATAAAATAGAAATAGGATTTCTATCAAACAAGTCTGAAGATTAAGATATATCTACGATGTGACTAAGATTGGCCCAGGTGCCGCAGATGAGGTGCTTTCATTGATTTTTTTTTTTAATTAAAAAACATCTTTATATTGAGTATGACACATGCAAACAGATGCTCATATCTGCAAGGAAGAACGTTTCTTTGCTATCATAATTTGTAGAGTTTACGTTACATTTAGATTAACTTTGACCTATGCAATTTGGGGCTTGCTTTTGGATTTCAATATTTTCCTTGGTGATTTTATGGATTAATTGTTTTATTTCTTGCAATCAGGCTAATATCTACCGGGAGGAGAACAATATAGTTGACTTGTATATCATACTTCTCAGATTTTCAAGGTAAAATGATGAAAAATCCTTTGATTTCCTCAGTTTTGAACTAGTAAGATTGCAGTTAAATCGTGTTTAAGCTTCTATGTTTTTCTCTAACTGTGCATGATTATTGTTCTTTTCTAAGTTTGGTTTCTGAAACCATACCATGTCATCGAGATTACCAAACTTCACTTCCCAAACAAAAAGCTGCATATAAGAAGGTAAGAAACTACAACATTTGCCATTTTGTTAGGTGGATGCATTTTATCTTGCCTTTTTTTTTTTTTTGGGTTTTAAATACAGCTGAATATGTGGTAATCACTTTATTTTCCTTTGATTCTTCCATCTCAGAGATTGTTTGCTGTACTGGATGAGCTTGAATCTTTGAAGCCAGAATTCAAACAAAAGGTTAATGAATTGAATGAGTTACATGGGGACGCACAATTTCCTAAAGTTAATGACTTCAGCAAGGCTTTGCACAGTTCAATGACTTCATCTTTGGAATGGCCTGCTGTCAATAATAATTCTTACTCAGGAATGGATTCTAAACAGGTAAGCTATTGATAATGCATTCTTTTTTTTGGTTACCTGTGTGCTGCACAAAGTTCAATTTATTTTCTTGCTTTCCGTTTTGTCTGATCAAGATTGTGTTCTTGAGGGAGTTTATAATTGTTTTTACTTATTTATTTCCTATGAATTACCATGACACGTCTGTGATGCAGTTGTTTAATTCTCAAGACTTCATATATTTGTGCTTTATTTGCCTACGTCTGGTTTATACCTATTAACTCGTTTTTCCTCTGTTTTCTGTTTTGGGCTTGATGCTGCTGCAGCCTGCTGGCTTGGGTCTACAGTCTTCATGGAAATTTAATAATAATGCTGGTCATTACGTATCTTCAAATGCTGTGCCTAATGACAAGCAGTTTCAGAAACTGTATGTTTCTTGTTCTTATTGTATTCTATTCTTTTGGACTACTTATATATGAGGCCTGCATGTGAGTAAGAGCTACTTTTTTCTACTGTGACTCTTTGGTTTTGGCCATCCCAGGACATCATTACTTTGCTTATCAAATGTTAGCTTGGTTGACTGGTTTTCGGTGTTCTGAGCGCTGACTCATCTTTTCATCATTGTTTATACTCAGTGTTCTTTTTGTGGTTTTTGCGCCTAAATAAGTTTAGTTTTGCATGTTTCATGGTTCGCATTCCTTTGTGTCCACCTTCTTCCCCATCCCTCCAAAAGGAAAAATCAAAGAATAAATGGAGAAGAGAACAGTTTGAAGTTAGTATTTGATTTTGATTTTGTTTTCTGTTATAGCTTTTGAAAGAATTTTTGTATGCTAGCTCTGTATTCCATAATAAATATCAATGCCTTATTTGCATATCTTGGTTGCTTATATATTCTCTCGCAAATCAAGTTTATTTCACACTGAACACATCTTCAGTTGGCTCCCCCTCTTTGTTTTCAGCAGCTTGTATGTTGTGAGTTGTGATTTGATTCAACAAATATTTATTGTCTTCCGCACATTTTACTTTTTAAGGTTTATTTTTTCAAAAAGTATATGTAGGCATATGCTTAATGATGAGATATGATAATTGCTTGCGGGAATGTGCAGATCTCTTAGTTTACGTCTACCAAAGGAGGAGACTCTATCCAGACACTCATTTTTGGGACCAAATGGTCTTCGGGGCCAGTGGCTTGGACCAAGTGCAGGAGTGAAGGTACTATTACAGGGTGGCATTCTAGTTTTTTCGCAAATTAAGATAGTGCTTGCTTTTAATAAAATATAGATATTATTTTGGATGTTTGCAGGTTCAATATCCAAGCAGTAGTGATTTGACTAGTGCTGAGAATTCAAGGTTTGGAATATCCATTCTTTCTTCAGAATGAAATTAGGAGGCTTTTTCCAGAGTCATTTCTAAGCTCTGGCATGATTTTAATGGTTCTTTCACTGGCTATTGTAGTGTACTTCCTTTCTGGAAGTTCCCTGCCCGTTTTCTTTTATCTGAATTGTTCTTTCTTTAAACAACAATCGTATTTGAAGATTAGTCTATTTGTTAATTGTCACTTTACTACGTCTTATTCAGCTTTCTACCCAAAATATTTCTAGTTGTGAAATTGTAACACTTCTTATTTTTGTTGTCAATGTTGATAGTCTGAATCAGGCTGGAAAATATGATCTTGTGGGATTTAAAGAGGGTGATCCAGGAACAGGCATGTCCACAATGGAGTCAGTGCTCTCCTTGGATGATGGAAGCTGGTCGCATCCTGCTGATGAGTCATGTCCTCCTCTATTGAATGAATCGGGGGACAGTAACTTCCAGTTGCTCAACATCAAGCAACCTTCACCTCCTCCAGTTCTTGCTCAGATTCAGCCAGAATATACCCCAATTCCTCCTTCAAAAGTTGCAGATCCAAGACCAGGACCAGCTAAGTCTTTGGATTCTCCACTTGGTCCTTCTGATTATCAGCACCTGCATATTGTAAGTGCCATTATTCTTTTAGAAAGTATATATGTTTCTTCGCTTCTCTTGGTCATTATCGTTACTTGTTCTGTTTCATAGTTAGTTTGGCTTGTTTGTTATAGTGGGTCAAAGTCATCTTACTTTTTTGTAACTTTGTGTTGCAGCCTGTCAAAATGATGGATGATTTTTTGAGGTTGGCTCTGGAAAATACACGGAAAAACTTGGAGACTTGTGGTGTTCTTGCAGGGTCCCTGGTAAGAGCAGTCAAAACTTTAAATTGTGTTGTCATTTTCTGCATATGTTGATTTCTAATAATAGTTTTTGGTGTTTGCAATCCGTGGGGCTGTAGAAAAACAGGGTCTTCCATATTACTACACTCATAATCCCAAAGCAGGAATCAACTTCTGACTCGGTAAGAAAACAATCATCTTTAAGTTCTTGCCTAAGTTTTATGATTTATATTGCTTTCCCTCGATCACAATATGATCTAATCCCTTACTATTTAATACTTAAAAGGGAAACTTTCATTTGTAGAGGCTAATTCCAATTAGACTGATTGTGGTGAATAATATAATGTTTAACTCCACATTGACTTTGAGATGCACAGGTGTGATGAGGTCTTGCATTTGTTTACTATTGATATTATTGATAACTCAGAACTACTTACGTGGAAGCATTGCTTGAAACTCGGCTACTATTGTAGACCGTGTGAGAGAATCTTACTCAAACAACCAGTTCTGTTGTCTATTTTAATGAACTTAATATTGGTATGGCCACTTATCGGAAATAAGATACTGATTATCATATCCCATGATCATAAATAGGATTATTTGATTATTCAATGCGCAACAGTTTGAAATACAAGATTGTAGGAAATGCAGTTTTATTGATCATTGATTAATCTACTTGTGTCTTTTACTCTTCAATATTTTCTCATTATTCTCCCATTTGATAATTATGCAGCTAATTGCTTTTATTTTTCAGTGCCAAACATTGAATGAGGAAGAGATATTTGAAGTTCAAGACCGTTTATCTCTTTTTCCTTTAGGCTGGATCCATGTAAGTGCTCCTTTATCGTTATGGGTGGAAGTTCTCTTATTTTTTCAGTTTAATTCTATCAAAGAATATGTTCTTTGTATCTGTGAGGTGGCAACAAGAATTATATCATGTATCTGGTCCTGCTTAGAGCTTAACTGGAAATTATATTGAACTGCATAGAATGCAACAGATGCAAGTTTAGTAAGAATAAAAGGAATATATAATTGACGGGAAGGAATTTATGTAGCATTGGAATGCTTTGAGATGAGATATTTGACCCCAACAAATTTAAGAATTTGTATGTTTCTATTTAAATATCTTGGATCTATCATCTCTACATCATAGGTGATCATTTCTGCTACTAAATACTGCTTGAGATCGCTTAACATGTTGATTTGTGGATGATTGTATTAGAAGTTTTTAAGTAATTGATAGGCGCTCTTGAGAACGAGCAAGCTTCTGTGGCAAATTTTGTAGCATAGTTTATGTCTTTGTCCTTTTTTTCTTCCCCTTCCCTTGGTCATTTCTTTCAATTATTTTTTTGGCATCAAAGCTTTAAATGTCACCTGTTTTGTCTTGTTAATTTTTCATTTGGACTACAGACACACCCATCACAGACTTGTTTCATGTCATCGGTAGATCTCCATACACATTACTCATACCAGGTAACAGGAATATAATTTTGTTTCTTCTCTCTTTTTCACTTTTTAGGTTAAAATGAAGTGTTCTTTTGTGGCCCTAATGTGGCAACAATATTTTTAATTCTACTTTATGGATTTTCAATTTTTATAGCTTTTTTGATATTGTACTTTGTGCTTTCTTTATTCTTCCATTTTACTGAACCCGATCCTTTTCTTCCTCCCTCATGTAGACTTTTTAATGAGTGATTTGGATGGTAGGTTTCAAAGGGGGTTTCTTGGCCAATTTATGAACCCAGTGAATTAATATTGACAGGGCAAGGAAGTATGGGATACCTATGTCCCGCATTGAGTAGCATGGGCTGCTCAAAAGTGTACTTAAGCATGTTGGTTCTTCCACCTCAATAGCTAATTTTTTGGGGGAGGGTTTCGTGGCTTCCTTAGGAACCTATAAGCTACTTGATCCTCAATTATGATTGCATGATAGGGTTACATTGACTTTGGTCAGCAGCTTCATTTAGAATTTCTTTTTGGGAAAAAACTCTTATATATTATTGTGATTGTATCTTGCTGAGACAATATATTTTATGCCCTTGTTTTAGATCATGTTACCGGAGGCAATTGCAATTGTCATGGCCCCTACTGATACAAAAAGGTGCATTTTCTTTTGTGTTCTTGCTCCGTCAATTATTAAAATTATATTTTACTGTCGCTAATTACTCTGCATTTGCTGGTGATCCAGTCCACATGGCATATTTCATCTGTCTGACCCTGGTGGTGTGTCAATAATTCGCAACTGTCAGCAACGTGGATTTCATCCACATGAAGAGCCGTCTGATGGAAGTCCAATTTATGAGCATTGCTCTCATGTTTATATGAACGCTAACCTGAAGTTTGATGTTGTTGACCTTCGATAGAGATGATTAATCTAGGATTGCAGGCTCGCGGAAGAACATCTTTCCAGAGTTAAACAAGAACGGCATGTTTGCTTACCTGGCTGTCATCTTGAAAATTGAACTTCATGCTGATTCTTTTGTATTTAGTGAATGAGCTAGAGAAAACTAATCGCCCACCTCGAGATTTTGTATCATGCCAGGGAAATTGCACGAGATGATTGTATCATAAAAGAAAGATGATTGTGTAAATAGTGGTATTAAATTGGAGGTGGAGAAACCAGAAATATGACAACTGTTATCACGCAAGATGGTGCAATGAATTGGACGGGTGCCATCAGATACAGGCTACAGGTTCAATGTTAAGGTGAATTCATTGTCTAGACATGTTCATGGTAGTTAGTTTGCCGCTTCTTTTTTTCTTTTTTTTTTCCCTCTTCTTTTTTTTTTGGGGGGGGGGGGTGTGGTTTATTTGGTGGTTCACTGATCATAAGGAACAAGGAGTAAAACTGAAGTGTAATGGATCATTATGAAGTTATAATGAATGTGGTGGGCAAATCGGTCTCAGGAGCAAGTCCATCCCCAGTGTTATGCTAGTTTCAGAGACAACCCCCCCCCCCCCCCACAATAAAAAAACTGCCATCTTTTCCTATGCATGGTGCATTTTATTCACATTGGAAACCCCCAAAACAACAGCTTTGATGACACTGTTTGGTTTGATGATTTCAAAGTACTTACCTACTTTCACCGGTTCATGAGTTTGCTTCTGCCCACCGAGCCGGGAAAGATGCTCTGCTCCAATATCTTCACCCCCGTGTAAATACTATTTTCTGTTTGGGAGGCCTGCGCGATGTATAAACTAGCTATTTTAACCATGCTGAGGGCCAACAAAATCAAGAGTTTTTGTTGCTTTTTCCCCCTCACAAAGTGGCATTCCCATTTTCTAACAAAAGTGCAATGTTCTCAATACGTATTACACCAGGACAAAACTACAAAATCCGGTTGGAATCCCCGTAACACGTGTCATCTGCAAGAATTCTAGGAGACATTCTTGCGACTTTATCTTCGACGGACTCATTAATGAATTACTCCTCCGGTCTTATTATAAGACCCAATTTGACTTTTTATTTGGTCCTAATTATAAGACCCAATCCATTTTGTCTCTTATATTTATGTATTTTTTTCCAAGATAATCCTTCTAATAATGATAGTTTTAGCCAATATACTTAATTAGTAAGGATATTTTAGGAATGACAACACTTATTTATTATAAATAACCAATTAACTTACTTCCTTAATCTCCTCAAATAAGTCAATTGGGTCTTATAATTAGGACCGAGTAGTATTTTACTTATTTTTTACGCACAGCTGAAAGGCCCTTAAGAAAGTGGGAAGGTTTTTTATATTAACTCTCACGAATATGTCCGCCAGAAAAACTAGGCATGTGAAATTTGAGGTAGAAATCCAATGTTGATACATCGATTTAAATCTGGTACAAAACTACTGACATGCCTGCCCAGCATGCTTGAAATTTGAATGGCACATCCTCTTGGGATCCACCACTAAACCAACCTAGTGAATCACTGGGGGGGAAAAAAAAACAAAAGAATAAGTATTGCTTACCCCACAAAACCCCACTGATGCGAACACATCAAATTAAAAAGGGAGCCACACTATTCCTCTCAATTGGTGGGAATTGCTGGCTGGCTGTTAGGTCTTCCGCATGTGAGGCTGAGCCCCAAAAAAAAAAAAAACCATTCCTCACTTTAAATTTGTTTGGAACCAAAGGCAACTACTAGGACAGAGCAATACGTATCGTATAGGCCACCAAAACTGGGTGCTCATTTAATACCTTTTCATCCACCAGTGCATTACGTTGTTCACATTCTAGCTTTGAATTCTTTTTCTTAGGTGAAACCAGTAAATGTAATGGCCTAGTCATGTCTGTTCCTGAATGGCGTGTTCATGGCGTTTGATATGAGTCTATCATACATGTGACCCTATTCAATATCCACGTACCCACCATGAAGTGGCATTGACGCTGACTTATTATCAACGTACCTTTCAATTTTCTTCCCTCTCTACAAAATCAGTACTTGTCCTTTCCTTTAAGGAGTTAATTTTAACATCTTAAATGTAATGAGATATAACAACCATTACACCCCTTCTTCTGGTCCTAATTATAAGATATTGTTTATAGCACAAATTATGTCTTATAATTTGGGCTGGAGTTAGTATATTAGGATTATGGATATACATTGTACAAATAAAAATGTTACGAAATTTGACTAACTTTAACTGAAGCTGATTAACCCAAATTCGAGAAAAAGTTCTTCCAACATGGTTTTGATCTATTAAAAAAAATATACTCAAACTCAATTTTTATATGAATTTAATCTTATTATAGAAGGTCAACAGAAAATTCTCCAAATATATAGATGCATCCCTTCAACAAGGAGGTAATCAAAATGTTTTCAAAATATGTCATTAAAAATTAAAAATAATTTCGCCACTTAGAGGCGAAAGAGGAAAACAAGAGACTCTATCCCTTAACTATAGACTTATTTGAAGACCCCCCAAACCACCAAAAAAAAAAAAGCCAAGAATGAACCTTGATAGATGTGTTTCTCAAATGAAGGGACCACGATAATAACATCTGGTCCTAAATTAGTATTTAATTATGACATATCAAAATAATTCATTCACCCGTATATATAATTAGAGAAAAGTGAACACAATAGAAAATAAATACCTCAAGGGAGCATATGATGAAAAACCCTAGCATTTTAGGAATACTTAAACTAAGTAATTTTACCGATCAGAGTTGGTCCAGTTAATAAAGAGTCGACTTATAATCCATAAGGTCGTAAGTTTGAATCCTGCTGCCGATGTAAGAACCTTATTAGTGAGCGATCTACAAGTGTTTTTGTAAATGCTTTTTGAGTCTGGAGACATGCCTTAATCCTATTAAGCCTTTCAGACCCAACTCACCTAAATGTTTTTTTGTACAAAAAAAAGGTATTTTTATACTTTACGGGATTAAATTCCTCTTTTACGTTTATTTTACCTAACAGAAGATCACTTCTGTGCCAGTAATGCAAACGGACAAGAGTATTCCTGAAATGGCAACCAAATAGCAGAGACGTCATTGTATGTGAGGACCACGTGGCTCATTTGGGGATATATTTGGAATAACAACACATGGAATGAATTAATACGATGGCCCCCAAAGGAAAAAGTTAGGTCACGAAATCACGGCCAAGAAGAAGAAAAGATCCACACGCTCGTACACGGAATGAAATCTGGTTAAACGAGTTCAATTCTTACTCCAAAACAATAATACTCTCTACTCTTAATATAAAAATTAGTTAATTAATTTGAATAAATTTAAAAAATTAATTAAGTTAGTTATTTGTGATGAATAGATTTTTTTTTTTAAAATACTCTTGTTAATCATATACTTTAGCCAAAACTAATGTTTGATGAAACACTTAACATGTGCAATAATCGTAAAGATTATTTTAGAAAAATAAATAAATATGAGAAATAAAGTGGATTGAATTTTATATTTAAACTAAATTAAATATCAAATTGACTCTTATATTAAGGTTAAGGACCGGAACATTATTTACTTTCAAGAAAAAAAATCCCAAGTCAATATTTTTGAAATTTCACTAAACATATATTAATTCAATGTTTTAGAATTTTTATTTCAAGATCAAATTTTGATGATAATATATTTTTAAAAAAATAACATTACTTCTAAGAAAATATTGTAATTGTATTTTTTTTTTTTTGTATTTGCTTGTGCTTAGCTTCCAAAATAGCTTGCTCTGCACATAATCAAGACTGCTACGAGCTTATATATCCTACATTTTCATTGGTAATTATGGATGTGGAACTTATATTATCTAATGAAAACAAAAGTACATCTTTTTTTGTAGGAAAAAATGTATCGAGATCTTATTATACTTACAATCTGATTGAAAATTGTCTTTTGCAAATATCAAAATAAAGGCCAGAATTTGTGGAAATGAATTACAGAGAAGTGACGAAGTTAGATGAGAGAACCGAAGCACGTGGAAAACAATGAACTAGTTAAAGATGTAATAATAATCGCCAACATTATTGGCATTTTAATCTGATGCATTTTATGAGTGAGACAGGAAATTATATTTTTGTTTGTGGCTGACATTGTTGCAAACTCGTTTTCTTCAGTGATCAGTGTAAAACGTCACACCCAGACTCATCTGTGAAAAAAATGAATCTTTGCTTGACTAGCGGCAATTTTATATTTATGTTATAATAAATTACTATCTCCGGTTCTTAATACAAGAGCTAGTTGACTAATTTGAGTAGATTAAGAAAACTAGACACGTTAGATATTTGTAATAAATAGGTATTGTCTTTTCTAAAACATCTTTGCTAATTAAGTTTATTGGTTAAAACTATCATTATTACAAGGACTACCTTAAAAAAATAGATAAATATAATAAACAAAGTGGATTAGAGTCTTATATTTAAGATCAAAATAAAAATCAAACTAATTATTATATTAAGAACCGGAGGTAGTATTATCTTTATAAATTAAATAACTAAAATTGTTGTAGTAATAATAACATAAATTTGTGTGTGTGAGCGTGAGAGAGTGAGCAATACACCCACATGCACGTTCGCATCAGAAGGTTCATAATATATTTTGTCAAGTATAGGGGTATGGGCCGTATTTAAGAAGATGTGACGTCAAATATTTATATGTGATAATTACGTCATGCCTATGTTTGAATTAAATTCATGAAAGCAAAGATAGTTAAGCGGCAGATGCATCCACATTGGAATACAATATCACCCTTAAATTAAGGACATAACATTTTATGGCAACTCTTTTTCCTTTATCTGGAGCCTCATTGAGAATTTCAGGACCACAGTCACAATACTTGTTGAACTTAATTATTTCTTTATATGCTTTTTTTTGGGGGAAAATTAAAGCATATATCTTAGTCCTCATGATATCATCCAATATTAAATTTAATCCATGTGGTGTTGGCACTTCTTATATAAGATTTATCTGCCTCGTTTGGTTGTTTGAAAGCTATGAACAAATTTACTTTTGTATTTTACAAGGCAAAACTCTTCTCATATATTTATCTCATGCAACATAAAATCACTACTTTAAATAATTAAAATAAACCAAACACCAACGTTTAAAAGTTAGTCCTTAAGACTTTAATAACTAATATGTAGCATTTGACCGGGTCAATCTAATAATTAATATGACCCACCCTCTCCCTCTTCCTATTATACATACATCCATCCACGCACACACATACACATACATCCATGCGTGTATGACAAGTGATTCCTTAAACCAAAATAATTTGGGCAGCAATTTATGCGATATGGAATATATGAAAGTTGCTGTCGGCAATCAGTTCGCCACTTGGCGTTTTTGTAAACCATCAGGTCCACCACGATCGATCGATCAATGTGAACTGGTTATCTGTCTATGAATTCTTTATCATTAAACATCACACATTCATGATTTTTTTTATAGGGATTTTAGTATTAATTAATTAATTAGTCTTGAAATAAATTGGAGAGGTGAGGTTGGATGGGAGAATTAAAACCGCATTTATAAAAGATGAACTGTAGAGGGGACATGAAAATTTAATTCTCTTCGTACCTCACATGCTTCCAAATTATGCTGTCACTGTTGCGTATATGGTTTTTCGTTTGCACTCTGCAACGCAGCGATACTGTGTGTGTGTAGATGGCCAGTAAAAAAATCCCACTGATACTTAAGAATGAAAATGCTTTTTTTGTTCTAAATATAAGACTCATTTTATAATATAAATATAGTACTCTGTGTGTATATACACACACTAGTTAAAAAATCCCACTGATACTTAAGAATGAAGATACTCCTCTGGTCTTAAATATAAAACGCATTTTATAGTGTAATTTACACTACAAAATATGTTTTATATTTATAAGCATAGGAGTAATATATATGTATCTATATGTGTGCACACACATTTTTGAAGGTATATACATCCTACAGAGATAAAAGATGGGGCAAAACAGAGGGAAACATTTGTGTCCACAAGTTTTTGCAAGTTTGGTTGTTATCCACTCCATTGAAGGTTGTTTTATTAGTTTTTTATTGGAATTTTCTTGGCTATGAATGAAATTCTTATCACGATCAACGATAAAGATCCCCTTACCTGCTTTCTGGGGTTTATATGGCAAGTTTCAACTCGCGTTTCGGTTAGGTTTTTCTGTACCTTCTTCACGACGTTCCTCACCATACCTAATAAACTGTGCATATATATTAATTTCACACTGAATTTTACTTCATCTCTTTACTTCTTACATTGCTTTGGATTCTTTTTAGTCAGTTCTTAAGAGAGAGATAGACAGTAAAGTGGATAAAGATTATCATTAACCTAGTGAAAACGTCACATATATTTCAATGAAATCTACCCCTTAAGCGATAATTAATCTCACAACTGTGTCTTCAAAACTGACACAACCAGTGATAATTGGATTATTTTGAATATTCTATATCCTAAGGGAGAGAAATAAGGATTACAATGTTATAAATATATATAATTATAATAGCTCATATTGTCGGGAATTTATACTATTATATATCCTTATTGAATTTGCCAGGCTGCTATCAGCTGTAAGTATAATTGAAAATATGAAACATGCAGACCTGCAAAAGCATATACTCCTCCGGTTCTTAATATAAGACCCATTTAACTAATTTGATTAGGTTAAAGAAGTTAGGTAAGTTAGTTAATTATAAAAAATATGACATGTTTTTCCTAAAACACTATGATCATCTTTCTTAACACTTCTCTCCCTCTTCTACTTGATTATGGTTGAGGGAATATCTATAGGAGTAATTTAGAGAAAATTGATAAATATAAGAAATGAGTCTTATATTTAGGACCAAAACCAACTCAACAATTGGGTCATATATTAAGGACCGGAGGAGTGTATATATATATATAGAGGGGGAGAGAAAGAGAGAGAGAATGTAGGGGTAGACCGTAGACAGAGGAAGAGGAATAAAAGAATGACATGGAACATATATGGATCGTGTGACAACGAATATATTACGCAATATATTTAGTATAGTGACTACGTATGACTGGGGACTGCACAATCAGAGGAAAGAGAGACAAAGCTTTGCGATCCCTGGTTCTCTGCAGCATTTTAACGAGAATAGTGATATAAGTTGATCATGTGGCAGGAAAGAGGGAGACGTGGCCCAAAACTAATGCTTTGAATCTCTCCCCTCCTCTTCCCATCTCTATAGCTTTTTTTTTTTAAAAAAAAAAACCATTGGATTAATATTTTAAGGGTTGAGATTTGAATCTTTTAAAAACTAATTAGGATTAAGATATATCTAACATCCCGAAATATTTTCTTAGATACTGGAGTATTTTGTAGTGCATCCAGCACCTTCAAGTATTTTTTTAGGTGCGTCTAGTACCGTGAAATATCTTTTGGTGCATCCAACACTTCAAAATTTTTTTTTAAGTGTGTCTAGCACCCAAAAATATTTTTTAGTGCATCTAGCACCAAGGCAAAAAAAATGTTTAGGGTGTGAACACGGCTAAAAAATATTTTGGGATGCTAGATGAATCTGAGAAAATACTTCATTGGTACAATTTAACCCAAACACTATTATTAAAATATTAAATTATAAAAATAAATAAATAATATATTACAAACTCTGTTAAAATTTAATTATAATAGTTTGTAAATGCACTAAATATTTTTAAATTTTTTATATATAATATATAAAATTAAAATCTGTTGAAATATGCTAATCCAATTAATTAGAAAAAGGAAAAAAAAAAGAAAGGGGGGGGGGGGAGAGAGAGATTCTGAACAGCAAAACGAAGCCCTACAAGTAAAAAGTGTTGTACTTTAACCTTAAAACGCTAGGCTTTTTCTGACAGAATAATATTCTACCACATGGCAGGGTTTCTATAAATTTTACTCACCCATCAATAACTTACCCCATGGCCATCAACAAAAGGGGCTTTTTCCTCTCTGGCAATGTCCTTATTGTAGCTCCCACAGCGGCTATATATAATGCTACAGTGTCCAGAAGAAGCAACCCATGCAAAGCGTTTTAATCGCATTATTCATTCATGAGTGAATAGAGAGTTATAACACCAGCTAGCTCCACAACTACCTCCAACTCCTACCAGTAACTTGCAAGAAAAATGTCCGCAGTAGTTGAAGATGCAATAATAAGATCGAAGAAAATATCAACGGGAAGAGCTCCTTGCTGTGACAAAGTGGGTCTGAAGAAAGGAAGATGGACTGCTGAGGAAGACAAAATCCTGACCGACTATATCCAGCAGCACGGCGAAGGCTCTTGGAGATCCTTGCCCAAAAATGCAGGTAATAATTGACGTACGACTCATGAATATCAGAACTCTAGGGTTTCTTCAGTTCAAATCAAATGAAATGACCCAGGTTTAATGATAATATTATATATTGTTGATTTGAAGGGTTATTGAGGTGTGGAAAGAGTTGCAGACTGAGATGGATCAACTATTTGAAAGAAGACGTGAAGAGAGGCAACATTACTCCTCAGGAAGAGGCCATTATTGTGAAGCTTCATGGGGTGATCGGTAACAGGTAAGCTACACTGTACTGTGCTATAGCTTTTCGATCGCTTTATAATTAAATTAATAATAAGGAATAATCATATTTATTTAAGGAGACAATACTGTATGAGAATGTCTGAATATTTTTTGGAGCTAGCTAGGAGGGTTTCATCTCCTTCTTCGCCGACCATACTGATCACTCAAAAATCCTCAACACACGTACTTTCAACTTCGCCCTCTCAACAAACTACCTTTATTATCCTCAAAATGTAATAGATAATGCAGAACTTACCTCATTAATCACTTTATTCTTGCTGTCGGAGGAATTGAAAATGATTATGATGATTTAAGTTTCAAAATCAAAACTTATTTTTTTTCAATTCCCAAAGAAAATTTGAAGACATGTATATATGCCTTGTTTCATTGTTAATTTTCTCACCTTCATGACTGTTAATCATTGTTATCAAATTAATTTGTTACCGATATAATAAAAATCTACAACTACCAGAACAAAAATATCATCCAATTAAATAAAATTTACTTAAAAACCCTATATATTAATAATGCATGTGCATATATGGTTAATTAGTCTCTAAATTCCCGGATTATATAGTGTCAGTCAGCTCATTTTTTTGTTTGGGAAAAAAGTAAAGCCATAATCACTACTATTGGAAATTGAAGTTAAACTAGCTTGAATTACTTTCGCAAGCATTTACCTACATTTTCTGGATGAAAATCATATAAAATACCTGTATGTATAACTCATATACTCCTCTCGTTCTATTTATAAATCATTTATAATATGTTTCATACAGACAAAGAAAAAATCTTAAATTTGTTAACTTTCCTTTAAAATTCAACAACTTTCAAACTTTATCACTATTCAATATAGATTATTATATCCCTTAAGAACAAAGTCAATACAATAATAGTAAAATTGTACACTCATATAAAAAAAAATTTCTATCTACTCAATAAATAGAAATAAAAAATTTCTTCTTTCTTTACTCTATAAATAAAAGTAGAGGAGTATATCTTTCATTTTATCATTAGTTTTCTTACCTGAATTGAAAAACAACGGTGAAACGAATACGAAAGCGCAATATTACAACTTATAAGCATATCAAAGGGATTTGAATACTCTGGATTTAATTAATAAATTTTGGTATAATGAATATTTGAAGATAATTAAAAAATAATTGAAGGAAAATAAGTAAATTGTGTACAATATATATATATATATATATATCGACTTTTAACCCACTCTCTTCTCATACTAACTTCCAAAAATTCATAATGTGGAATTATGTGAAATCATATTTTCTTCTTTTGTAAAATATAGAAGTCAACAATGATAATACAGAATGATTTAATTTAGATATAGAGTATCGTGTAGAATTATATGTTTAAAGTTTTGTAGCTTTTTTTGGGGCAAAGTGAACAAAATTGATTAAGAGACACGTTCTTTTTCCAAACGAATTTCTTTCTCACTTGATAGTTAACTAGTTTAATTCTGTTTGCGCCCTATTAACATTTTCTCCTTGATTACTTAAGTTTTCTATAATAACATCCCGTGCAAAGTTGCACCATATAATATATACCTACCCAGCGAGTGTGAGGGACCTGCAAAGTCGTACCTTACTTAAGTTACTTTTTTGCTATCGTTCCTTTTTTTGGGGGGGGGGGGTGAAAATATCGTTCCTTATTTAATTTATCACTAATAGAATAAGAGGTTTTAATCTCTAAAATAGATCTGTGGTTAATTTGAATCAAAGTTTTTAAATTTTTTAAGAGAGATCAATCTCTGAAATTGTGATTAGTTTTGATCAAAGTGTGTATTGTTACTAAACATTATTACCATATCAATAAAGTATTGAGATTACTTAAGTTAAACATTGATTCCTTAGAAAAAGTTACATAACCTTGATCCAAATTAACGTTTTGAACTGAGTGCTAAGCCACCTTCATATTGTTCACCTCTCTTTCTTTTGTTTTTTGTTTTTAACCAGAAAGTTCACCTCTCTTTCGTACGATTTTTATCATTTGAAAAAAAAAAAAACACTGGGAATTCACAGAATGTTCGGATGTTGTTCCTCTCAATTAAGACTTTGTGGATGGCAAAATTTTTTTAAGGACTTTGTTGTACATTTAATCAATTAATTTTATAACATACAGTAAGATGTTTATCTATTGTTCTTTAAAAAGAGACAAGTAGAAATTAAATTATCTCACATAAATAGAATCAATTTAACCATTCAATATATAAACATAATAATATTGGGATAAAATTTAGAATCACATTCAAATTAAATGTAAGTAATATTGTCATTGAGATAACTTGTAGTTGACATATTTTATATTTTTCAAATTGATATAACCAGCTCATATGATATAAATAAGGTGAAGTGTTAGTAAGGAATTAGATTCAAATGTGTGTGTATAAATAAATAAAAGATATAGTACCTTATAGTATAGGAGCCCTTAATTTGTAGGATATAACATATCATTAATTTTTAGTAAAAGGTATGTAATCAAGTCTGTGATGATTTTTTTTTTTTGTGTGTGGATACAAACGGAAACAATCAAGTGTGCGATGATGACTAACCTCAACGATTTATCCAATATTCTTTAATCAATTTTAATTCTTTTGGATTATTTAATAATCAATGTCAATATTTAATTCAAGATAAAATATAAAACTAGAGGAAACATTACTATTTATTATCGGTCATACAAATAGTGTTATCCATTGATCTATGCGTAACAATTTTTTCAATCTTTTGATCTTTTCATATTATGGATATAATATTAAAAAAATAATTATAACTTTTAAAAGATGTTACCCCTCTAAAGATATATAATTAGACTTTCTTTTGGCCGAAGAGACTACTTCGGCATTATCCTCTATGACCTATTTAACGATAATTATGATGTACGACGAATTGATTGTTGTCTTATTCTCATACGAATTCTGGCTGGGTTAATTTCTGCAGGTGGTCTGTAATAGCAAGGCATCTACCAGGAAGAACAGATAATGAGATAAAGAATTATTGGAACTCTCATTTGAGAAGAAAAATTTACTGTTTCATGAGACCCTCAAATTCCAACGACAATCTCCCACCAATCGACATTGCTGCCCTGAACGCGGCTGCTTCATCCAAACGAGGAAGAGGTGGTCGAGGCAGACCAACTCAAGCAGCCATGCAAGAGGAGGACAAGAAAAATATCACTCGAAACCAATGCTCCCACTCAGATATGAATGCTGACGATCCGATTGACAAAATGCATCAAAGAAAAGCAAACCCCGATGAAGCTGAGGCAATTTCAATGATGGGCTCTAGCTCTTGGAGCCAGAGTCACCAAGAAGAGACCGTTGATGGAATTGGTTTGGATGCATATTGTGAGATGAGTAGTGATGATACACATGGCAACGCAGCATTTTGCCCCAACGTGGATGGAGAAGGTGACGCCTTGGGACCATTTCAATGGCTAGATGATGAAATAATGAAACTTAATTACATGTTTGAAAGTGGGATTCTTGTGAACTCAACCAGTAGTGGAAATAACAGTATGGGAGGAGAATGTGGCTATGGAATGGTTGGTGGTAATAAGGAGATGAATATTCCAACAAGCGAGGAAAGTAAAAGTGATGTTTGGAGCTCACTTTCAAATTACACAGAGAGTGGGCAGTGGTATAACAGTAACAACAATAATAATTATAATAGCAGAAGTTCATCATCAGGGAATTCTGTTTATGATTATCAGTGGGCTGATTGGGATATTTCAGCCAGTGCCCAATCCCATAATCAATGGAACCCGCAGTACTCCGAAGAAAGCGAGATGATGACTTGTTTGTGGGATGCCACTGCAAATGGTGAAGTAAATAACTTCTACTGAGTTTGCATATATGAGAGGGAATTTAAGTCTATACTCCATATGTAGCATTCTAGTTTTCTTTTTCTTCCTGCTTCATAAGATCCGGTAGTTGCAGTTTCTCAGTTGATCCTTCAGAGAGAGAGAAAATCCTCAGAGCATATATATTGTAAGGGAGAAGCCTATTTCAATGTGTTTACCAGGCACTGTATATTAGCTATTATTTCTTTAATCTGACAATAAAAGTGCTAGGATTTCACAATGTTCTTTGTCTTTTTCAAAAAAGGAGTACACAAGAGTAATTTCCCGCTGGCCTTATGGTCCCAAAGATGGTTCACATGCATTATAACCTTTATCTATCAATTTAAAGTTCTTCATATTTTCATTTAATGAATTAATTCATTGTATCATACGTGTCCGAGTACGAAAGCTACCCTAACCTTCTCATGACTTATATGGGGCCTCTCATTTAATGACCTATTAATTTAACGATGCAAAAGGAGGTCTTGAGGGCAGACTGAAACTTTTCAATTTCAAAATGGAATCACTCACACCCACATAATAGATATCTAGGTATTTGGACTGAAAATGGACATTTTTAGGTTGGTAATGCTGACTAGACCATCAAAAGGAGTCGATATACGGAAAATCCGAGGTGGGATCCGCTTAAAATTTGTTTGGTGTTACCGCATTGATGGGCCTGGAAAAAAAAAAAAGTAGAGGAATGTCTCTATTTAATTCTCTCTATTTTTTTTATTTATTATTTTTATCATAGGATTAACATCCCATGATTAAAATTTAATATACTATAATAATATTAATTAAACAAAAAATATATATAAACAGCCATAAATTAATATGTACTCGTATACATTATTTCTCTAAATTTTTGTTAAAATATTTTAATTTTTTTTGTTTTTTTATCCTGTGCCATCTGATTATAATGATATCATAGTGTTTATTTGTACACAGGTTATAGTTATTTATATATATTATTATTATTTAACATTATAATAATAATATTGTTATAATATAGTAAATCCCAACCATTGGATATTAAAGAAAGCTAAATGGAAACATTCCTTCCCAAAAAACAAGGTGGAACATAAAATTAAAATAGCTGGATGTTGGTTCATTGACCATTTTGAATTACATGTTCAGTTTGGTTAAAAAGAAAAAGAAAAAGGAATGACAACTAAAATCTCATAAGAAGGTTAATATCAAATCAGGACTTTTTAAAAATTTTCAGTTTTGAAATATAGAAAGATGAGTACTTAAATTTGAGAATTCATGCTGTGAAAAGGATTTCGACTATTATTTTTATGAGGTTGATAGGCGTCATTTTACCATGACAAATTTTGAATAGGCATGCATGGAGAGGAACAACTAGTCTAATTAATATATCAATATATAATTTGAACTTGAATAAAGTCATACCGCTATTTTACTGTTGAACATTAATTTTTGTATAATAAATAACAGAATAAGTAGCTACAGAGGGGTGGTTGGCTTTGAAGAAGCACAAAGTACTATTTCAAGTTTTTATCTTCCTTTTTTTTTTAGTAAAAAAAATACACTATCTTTTATCGCACCTGCTTCTCTCTTTTTAATTATTTATTTATTTAGAAAAAATTACAATAAGGTCCCACCTAAGAGAATTAAATACATAAAGGTCCCTTAAAATTATCAAATTATTTTAAAGTCTTAAGGGTTCTCATTCCAATAAATTTCATTTGTTTAATTACTAAATTGCTTTTTTTTTTTTAAGTTTGTATTGATAACTGAAAGAGCAGTAGTTAATAACTTAAAGTGTAAGGATTGATAACTATCACGGTAGGTATTGACAACACATTTTCTCAGTATATCGCAAAATGTAATGTCAACTACTGCTCTTTTAGTTGTGAATGTAAAAAAAAAAAAAAGACAATTTGGTAATTAAACAAATAAAACTTATTGCAATGAGGTCCCTTAAAACTTTAGAATAATTTGATAATTTTAATAGACCTTTTTGTATTTAATTCCCTTGAGTGGGATCTTGTTACAATTTTTCCATTTATTTATATTATTGTAGCTTCTATGGCCAACAGTCCAACATGATTCAAAATTAAAAATGGCGGTTCTTTGCAAGAAAATAGCGGGAATGTTGTACGCCTAGTTTACAAGTCAGTTATAGATGAAGTTATATGCAACAATTACCAATCTGTATTTGACCCACATGATTCAACAAGAGGCACTCAAATAATCTGTGAGCTAATGGCTCTTATTCATTTGTAAATTAAATTCAAGAATGACTAATGAATATATATAAGCCGAGTTTACCAAAGAAAACTGCTGCTTGATTGACAATGAGTCACAGCTATGATGGCTGATACAAGGAAAATCAAGGTACTTCTTCGTTTGGCCAACAGGAAAATCAAGATATCAATCCCTCTCAGTAAAGGACAGTGAAGCAACATATACAAATGACTTATGTGATCTTTGTATGAACTTTATAATTTATAATCCACTTTGAGACAGTGCCAAAAAAATCTTAATCACGCACCCCCCAAAGTGGGGAACTAGGGATTCAAAATCTAGCCATCTGCCCCCAACCAGAAATCTCCTTGGACGCTTGAGATGCCAATCATTCATCCTTTCTCACAATCGCAAACCCCTTTAGATGTTAATATTGCAAGATTTCAGCAACAAAATCATTGACCAAAGAATCAAGTATTTGATCCTCAACTTCTGCCCCTAGTTCAAAACCATCAACATCAAACTCTAGCCATCTTCCATATTGGTTGCTCATGTCCTTATCTACAAGTTCATCAACCATTGAATCCCCCATGGCTCCCCAACCAGAAATCTCCTTGTGCACTTCCTCTGCCAACCGTTCCTTCTTTCTCACCATCATAACTCCTTTGGCCCACATTTTGTAACTCCCACATGCATAACGCTTGCATCTTATGTCCATGCATTCACTCACACAATCAAAAATAACTTTCCTGTTTATCCTAGGCTCACCACCAACGTTCTCAGACCTTTCTTTCATACTTTCCAGCTGATTGAATAGATGGGGGCTCACAACCTCTCGTGCTTGACCCAGGGCAAAGTCCATAAACATCAGTTCCACATTACACAATATTTCTTTCACGTAGTCCAGTTCCCATGTACTTGATCTTCCAAATTTCATGATAGAAAATGCATCTGTACGCTTCTTTACAATGGTTCCAGTTGATGTTGAAGAAGCTGAATCCGACAGCTCAGTATCAGCTTCTGCATGATAAGACTTCCTTGAAGTGTTCGGGTCAAAGACTTCTTGAGCTTGCACAAATGAGCACAACTTGCTTTCTGAAATTGGATATAGTAAACATTAGGTATCGATTAGTAATGTCACAACTAAATTCAATAAAGATGATTAAAATTCCAATCCTTGTAAGCGTGTGTGTGTGTGTGGGTAACCGTAAAGGTGCTGCTTTTACCTCCTGTGCTATTAGTAGCATTTGTGCTGACTAGAGATTCACAACTTTCAATTGAGAAAGAAGGTTCAAGAACAGAGATTGGACTTGGGTGTCGACCGTTGAATAGCGGTGATTCGATATGATTGGACCTAAACTCCTTCATCCCATCAAAAACCTATAATATTTTCACGTTAGTTCTGATGAAATGGACATGCTTGTAGAAGACAATTTCGTAACACTGCAAACTTCTGCGCCATTCTAAAGGCTTCAAATTTTTCATACATTAGTTAAAACTAAACGTTTCTGACACCCTAACTATTTATATACGTACTTGCTGCCAGGAAATAATTAAATATGTGATGAGAAAATTTTCAAAATGCTAAGAGGCAGAAGACAAGACTTTGGATATGATAAGTACTGAAGAAAGTCGTCCTTTAATGTTATAATTTTTTAACCCTATCAGTCGTCATTCACAAAACAGAATAAATAAAACTAACGTTCTAAGCAATTCTAAATAAGAATTATAATTTTTGCACGTACCAATGACTTATGTTTTGATGTTACTTCAGGAAGACTAGTGAGGGAGATATCAGAATAGTGCCTGGCGCATAATGTATCTGTAGATAGCATGTCTTGGTCCTTTTGTTGCAATCTCGGGAGGAGGTTAACTAAACTCGGGGAAGATGACGGGTCTACTGAGTTTGATGCAATACTAGAAGATGTCCTGTCTTTAGAAGAACTGTTACATGAAGTCTCGACTCCATACATAAATTCCTTCAGTTTCTGTTCTAAAAGAACACTCAAGGCATCACCAGCTATTACATTGTATCCTACTGGAGTTGTTGCATTGTCTGACTCAATCAATACTTGTTTAATGTGGTGATCCAAGGAACAGCCATTGACCTTCTGACCAACTTGCCCAGATGCATCAAAGCCATTGTTATTTCTTGCCAATGGTGTGGTAAACGTAAAGGAAACAACATCCATGTCTTTCCTTTTGACTTCTCCTGCCCAACTAAAGCTGTCCTTACCTTCTAGATTAGACTCAATAGGCTTCTTTGTTTTGTCAATGAACATATTATCCACAACCCGATCATTCCAGTCCTTGTCTGTGGACCTTTTCTTTCTAGGGAAATTATTTGTACTGGTATATAAAACTTCATTTTCACAATCTGATGCACCCAAGCTTGACTTCCTGGTACCACTTTTGGATTTCCCAGTAGATCTACTATTAGAACTTCTATGGCGCCCATAGGGGGAACCCCCTGACAGAACTTTCCTATCATTGGAAATCGATGGCTTTGATGGTAACTTGCCCTTGTCAACTGAACAATTCTGTTTTTGATTGTTTTTGCGGAGAACACCCGCAGTACCTTGCACAGAAGACTTTTTCTGCAGCTTCTTTTGAGCCTTAGTCTTTGATGGTGGGTTGGTTTTAGGCTCATGGTGTTCTTTCTGGCCCGCCAAACCTCTACTGCCATTCAAACTCAAGCCTTCCCGCCTTTGAACATTCACTTTTGCTTGAATTGCAAGAGAAACAGACTTTCCTTTATTCTGTAAAGATAAATCTTCTCCTGCATCAGTAGATCCATTGGATGAATCCAGAGATCCATTCCAACTTTTGTTTAAAGACTGTCCCTTTAGATACTTGACAGCATTTGACTCAACCATTTTTTGAGAAGGTTCAGAAAGCCTAATTGTTCTTTGAGAAACCTCTCTTTTTTCTTTCAAATCTCTGGCTCTAGATGTCATGGTAGATAATCCAGAAAGAGATCCTTTTTGTGAAGCCTCTGCTTTTTCTTTAAGACCTCGAACCTTCAATGATACAGAAGATGAAGCTATCGATGGAGTTTTAGGCTTTGCAGTAGCCTGGGGCCCAGGTTCAATAATCCTTGCAGCCGCTTCCATTATATAAGCAGGATTGTTGCTTGGAATAAAGCCAGGAGTCTTGATAGGTGACAAAAGCTTATGGTGTGTGACAGGAATTGATTTAGCTGACTTAGGTGGCAATACTTCGGTTTGGAACTTCTCAATTGGCCTGCTAAGGATCTTTTGGGACCTTTGTTCCACGAAGTTCCTTGAAGAGCCCTCAAATTTTTCAAGCAAATTTCCAGAATAAATGGCCTGATCATGCTGGTAGCTCAGGTTTTTCCTGCAATATTGAGCATCTTGAAGAGATCGGGCATCAAAATATGGAGAAGAATAGGGCTCAGGAAAACCAGAAGGGGGTAGAGAATCTAATCCCATAAGCCGAGCAACGACGCCTGGGACTCTTGTTCCACATGCTTCATCATCTGTAACTGATGAAGCATAACTATGATCACTTCCTCTGACACTTGCACCGGCTCCAATTTCATCTTCATTCACCTGAAATATTTGAAGTAAATTAATGAATTTCATGAATAGAAACAGTAATTTTGAGGGCAAGTGATTGTGATATTACCCCCACATAAGGCCGTGTCATTGCTAAGCTGGCATCAACTTTTTTCCCCTGCTTCAAAGATTCTTCAAATGATGAAGAAAAAAAGAAATCAAAATCAAAATCTGTTATAGCTGACACCATAAAACCTTCACAGAAGGGATGCATAAGGCAATATACATGAACACATTATCATTTATTCAAAGCAGACAGCACGTGTACCTGGTGCGTCTGACTTAGAAGCAAACAATTTCTTCCGAGATTTTGAGGTCCAGTCAAACAACTGGAAAAACCCACCGACGTGTCCTCCTCCACTTTTTGTTCCTTCTTTCTCAACTCCCATTCTTGAAGCAAATGTAAATAAACCTTCATGAAATATTTTTGATAATGCAGAAATATTATTCCTTCAAATAGGATAAAATTATAATCCATCTGATTTCAAAATAGCTCCCTAGAAGTTCAGAGAATAATAAAGTCGATCTAGAAACCTACAACAAACCATAGTTCATTCGAGTAAATGTATTAAATCAAGCTGTGTCCATGGCACAGAAAAACAGGGTCAGAAGATTTCATCAGCTATCATCAGTGCATTAATATTCATTGTACATTTATGTTCGTCTTTTGGTGTAAGAAGTCCATTGTTAACAATTTGACTACATTTTAGAACAATGGAAACTGAAGATTAACCAGACATGAAGAGACCAAAAGGGAGATTATCCTCAAAGATTAAAAGTCATACCTCCTACCTTTTGTGCGAGAGAAATCAATTATAAATTTATAATCCCAGCAGCCTTATATGCCGCTACACTAACTGCAAAGCATGGATACAGCCGCTGCTAATCCTTCCAATCAAGCATCTGGTCCTGAATAATCACATTGACATGTTAATGAAGTGCTGCACTAATCAAGTTTCTTCACATTAACACCATAATTGCCACAAGCAACGAATGCTACTTCTGATAAGCATATCACACAGACCAACAGCAGTTATACTTGTACCTGTTCAGGGTACAGAATCATTAATCAATCAATCAATTGGGCTTTACTGGAAAATGACTAAAATAATAATCAACAACAAGTTATTACATTTCGTATCGAAGAAACTATCAGCCATCTGTCAGTGATAGACCAAATAAAGGATATAATTAACCTGATTCAGCTGACCAACTCAAAAAATTGAGAGATCATTAATGAGAACTCGAACATACTCAAGTATTCTACCAATATTAATAAAGAAATAATATTATCTGAATGACCTTGTCAAGAAAATCTTGAGTGTCCCAAGAAATGTTCACGTTTTCTGCAATATATTTCCCGAGTCAAATGACTTCGCATCGTGAAAGGGAAGGAGATAGATAAATTTAGAAAAATGAATGATGTATATATAATTACTCTTTTAACTCATCGTTTTTGCCCATGAAAACCTCAACAAGCAAACACCAATCTGAAACCCCATTACACCGAGGCACCAGATTGAGGTCAACCAACGGTCGAGAACAGAAACTCAATTCAGAAATCCAGAAGATAAGAAACAATAGATGATCTGCTACTACATTCAACAAAACAATGACGAAAACCAAGCGCAAATCTCAAACGCCACAAGCCAATAAATAAGCTCATGAAAGAAAATGAGGGAACTAACGAAATCTAGAGTGGCATAGGAGCAAGACTTACAGGGGAGAATGAGATAGGCCAGAGAAGACCGAAAGGAACACTATTAATTGCCGTTTGCCCATTCGAACTGAAGACTTTACAAGTGAAAACAATAGGCTCTTACTAACAAGGCGGAAGTTCAATGAGCAGTATTTCGGTATTTGCTATATCGGAGCGAGAAAAACAGCATCCAAAGCATTGAGGATGTGAAAAATCTTAGGCAGGACAGTGGAAGTGAGAGGCAAAGAAGGGTGTTGACAACTGATGGCTCGTCGAGAGACAATGAATCGAGCGTGGAGAGAAGGGGAGAGTGGGCGCAGTTTATTGTCTAAAAAAACAATCTTTTGAAGTAGATGATGTTAGTATTTTCGAAATGGGGAGAGTCTGTCTATAACGTCTCTTTTCTTTGGAGAGGGATCGGAATTCAAATTTCAAATCCGTTGTATTCAAAATATATATATATATTTTTCAAATCCGAGACGGGGAAGGGGGTCAAAGGGAGCTTGATAAAGTTCCTTGACGGTGCATTTGGATCACTAACCCACCTATTTCTGACTGACACGTGTGCTCTCTTTTACCATTTGCCCCCGTTGTTAACCATGCACTATCACCACACACGGAAAAAAAGGGGGGGGGGGTTCATGCTTCTGTGCTTCATGAACGAAGCTTTCTTCCCCAAACATTCCTTGACTCCTCCTTGTTCATTTCGTTGACATCAGAAATTGTTACATGGAATCCCATGTCATTTAAGGAGAAGTATATTAAAATTCTAAGGAAAAAATAATTATCAATAAATTTTAATGATAAGTGAGCAATTATCATTTATTACCCTGAAATTTGTCATTATAGGCTATTTTTTGTTATTGAGACTTTTCAGTAATTATATTTTTTATTTGAGATTTCCTAACAATTCTCCCTATCATTTATCATTTATATTTTAACCAATAAAAAATTTAATGAAAAAGAGACATAATATATTGAAGGGATAAAAATTATTAACTTAATTATGAACTTTTTTTTAATTTTTCAAAGGAGGATGGGGAACAATTTTTGTTGGTTAGAGTACGAGTAAGTGACTGGTTCACATTTTCTGCCCAGATGAAGAGTTTTGTAGCCTTTGACAATAGTTAGAAGGTACTGAGCTATAAAAATTTTGAATTCGTTTTGGTTTTTTATAAGTCACTTCAAAGCTAAAAGTTAATCTAACTCAATGCATTCATAAACACATAAAAAATGAGTCTACCATGCTTTTTAACTTAAAAATTCACCTTAACAATCGTCACTCTGCAAGTAAAGCCTTATAAATTTGAATATGACTTAACATGCAACGAGATGCTACCCCTGGTTCTTAACATAAGATCTTGTTTGACTTTTATTTTGATCATAATTATAAGACCCCAATCTATTTTGTCTCTCATATTTATGATTTTTTTCCAAGATAGTCCCTCTAATAATGATATTTCTGACCAATAAATTTGATTAGCAAGGATATTTTGAGAAAGACAATACCTATTTATTACAAATAACTAACTTAACTTATTTATTTAAACTCTTCAAATTAGTCAACTAGCTCTTATAATTAGGATCGAATGTAGTAGTTTTTATGCTGAGAAATCATTTTTAAAACAGAATTGATTTTCTTCCAAATTTCAACCAAACTAATTGGGAAGTTTGAATTTATATTTCTAGTCTAGTCATTAAGCAATTACGTGCGCCAATGATTTGTGGAGGAGGAAGAGTGAGAGGGGAAAAAAATAGAAGCCAACACATGAGAATGGGAGAGACTCGGATGTTATAGAATTAGCTAAATAGGCATTCCCTTTTTTCCTCTGTGTAAAATATTAATGTGCATAAATTTCATTATTTATTCTAACCAAGGCGATTCACAGTGGTACTCAAAAAAGATTTTATTTCTATGAAGTCATGAAAGTGCATTCCTTTTTCCACTTGATTATATTTGCATCCATATTCTTTTCGAAGATGCTAAAGGGAGAGAAAGTCAGAAAACAAAGAGCGCCGTCCACGCCTTTATTTATTTTTTTAGTCTATATTTGTATTCAAAATTTATATTTGTTTTGTCAAGATTATTTATTTATGTTATTTTTGTACTTTAATTTTGTTGCGTTTCATTCAATTACCTTGTACCAAATATATCTTTTAATTGAATGGAATGGTTTTTTGTATTTTCATTGTACTTTATCATTGCCTTTTGTTTCCAACACGTATTTGTTATCTCTGTCTGTTGATTATTAATGTTAATTGTTTTTTTTTCTGCCAACGTATTAATGTTAATTATTAATGAATTATATCGTGCGCATTAATAGTACAGCTTCCCTCAATTTAATAATAAAAAAGGTTTTCTTAAATCCATATCCATATTTCCAATTCCTCTGGTTTAATTAACTAATTTGAATAAGTTAAATATGTTAGTTAAATTAATTAATATAATTTTTTCTACAGTTTTTTTTAATTGCCTCCCGCTCCTACTTCATTTTTAGTGGAAGAATCTCAATATAATTAATTTTAAAAAGTTAATAAATATACAAAATAAGTTTTAAAGTAACATAAGCTGCGAATTAAGTCCTACTTCAAGAATGGATGATATATAAAAACTCTCACCACCCCGTTATTTATCAATGATAAAAAGCACAACAGACCAGCTGTATAGATTTTAGATGAAATTTTAGGCCCCAAAAAATGTAATTTAGATGAAATATAGGGTTTCCTGGAACTATCATGCGAACGCGGGTAATCTAAGGAAAGGGTGGAAAGTAACGATTGAAGTGACGACCAGAGGAAGAAGAAATGGCGAAGATGGCAAAATGAGATTACAGAGTGGTGATTAAGAACAGGTGAACAACACGACACACTAGAACCTGTGGGTGATCTTCTCAATCTTCCTCTTTAACCAACGAAACCCTTTTTTAATTGCAGATTTAACCTTCCTTTCCCTTTCATACGACTTGTACTTGGCCACCCTCTTCTTCCTCTTCGCCTCCGCCTTGCTTAAAGGGCCGCTCTCTATATAACCTCTCCCCGCCGCCCTCCACGACGGCGCCTTACCCACACGCCGCCTCCCATTTACCCCGCTGTTCTCCACCGCCCGCAAGCCGCCTCTGTAACCGCCGTAATAATTGTCCAGCTCCATCCCTGACTTCTGGCGGCCGAAGTGGGGGAGGAAATTTGGGCGCTCTCTCTTGGATTATGGATCTCTCTTATGTACGCATTGTTCTGTGAGATGAAAAAGGCGAAGCTTAGCTAGATCTCGTGAGAGTGACGAGGCTACAGCGAAAACCTGAAATGGTGTTTGGAAAATTTTGAGTTGATCTATCTGGGTTTGGCTTTCTTTGGGCGAAAAATCGAAATATAGAAATAATGATGTTGGGGTGAACGGCGGGAGGAACGGTAGACCTTGAATTGGTTTGTTTTCTTCATCAAGTTTTGACACCTCATCATGCCAAATTCATCACCGTGTTTTCCAATTTGACCTTTTCAATTTTTCCGTTGACTTTTTTAACTGAAGTGGAGTATAAAAATTTTTTAATGCAGCATTACACATGAATATTTTTTAAATGGAGCATAAATATTATGCCTGTCATCTTTACTTAATAATTATGTCCGTTGCTTTGACATCGTTGGACTCAATATCCATGCACCATAAAATAACCGACTTTAACTACATTTAGGGGACATGGCATTTTTATTTTATTTGAAAATATTTATATGTGCTGTTGTGTCAAAAAATTTATGTTGTTAGATGGCTAGGGATTATTTCATGAATAGATTTAGGAAAATCCCAATTAAATTAAATTAAATTACTAAAATTTAAATTTAAATCTACTCTTTTAATAAATTTCTGATTAGGATAATAAGTCCAATAAATTTTTTTTAAATGTTATTAAAAAGATTAGAATGCCTTTTTACAGTCTATTTGTTTGTTTTTTCCTTTTGCAATGAATATTTGCGTCATATATATACTACTTCAATATTTATTATGAAAATTAGTTTGATTTTTAATTTAGTTCTAAATGTAAAATTCTAATATATTTTGTTTCTTATATTTATTTTTTTCTAAGATAATGATAGTTTTAGCTAATACATTTGATTAGTAAGAATAATTTAAAAAAATTATACTTATTTATTATACAAATAGACAAATTAACTGATTTTCTTAATTTAATGCTGCCTGACCAACTAAGTCTTATATCACTGTACATTAGTATATTGAGTCTCCCTACTTCTGGTATAGGATTACAGGAATATGAATATATACGCACAATCTCTCTCTTCTTTTGGCTGTCAAAAGACATATACTTTATCTGTTTCTTACTATAAGACTTTACTTGATTTTTATTTTAATCCTAAATATAAGACCCTAATTCATTTTGTCTCTTGTATTTATTAATTTTTTTTCAAAGTAATCCTTTTAATAATAGTAGTTCTAGCCAATACACTTGATTAGTAAGGATATTTTAGGAAAGACAAACCTATTTATTACAAATAACTAAATTAATTTTTTTTAATCTCTTCAAATTAGTCAACTAATTATTATAATTAGAAGCGAAGGTAGTATTATATTCCGTCTCTCTCCTACTGGTACGGGCGTATGGCTCCTTCTCCATCTGAACATAATGGCTTCGCAGTCGCAGGTGTGCGCGCTCTGTCAAATCTTGAAGTTTTCCGTCTACTTTCTGAAATCTTGCTTTCCATGATCACAAGAAATCTTGAAGTTCTCAGGAGCATCATTGCGAGGTTAACATTCTGGATCTGATGTAGCTAGGTTACTGAACCATGATTATACATAATGTTAATAAAAATGCTGTGTTCTTGGCAGGAGACGGAAGGAAAGAAAGAGAGAAGGCAAAGGAAGGAAATGCCATGAAGTTTTCCGCATAACTCTCACTACTAAAAACATGAAGAAACTGGTAAGGAAATGAGTATATAATTTTAAAAATTTCTTAAATGAACTTTTAAATTTTATTTCATGTATGTGATGAAGCCCTTTTCTGCAGCCTATGTCAGTCTTATCGTTTTGCGAAAAAAATATTTGGTGAGACGGACTTCCAAGTCCTGCATGGACGTACTCAAGTTTAGGGATAACGAAGGAAAAGAGGCTTATCGGAAGAAAGAAGAGGATGATGTTTGACAGGTAGTTAATTTGTATGCCTATGGGATTACATGGAAATTAAAGAAGAGGATTCATTTGGAAAGATATTGATTTTTTATGTCATTCAACTACGCTGGTTCTATTTGAAAGGAATGTAAGGTGGTTCTTGGAAGCGTAACATAAAAAGCAGGTCGGGTAATACGGTGACTCTATAGGAGGAGTACTTCTTCATGTAATACAATGCCTAATTCTGCGAACAACGTAACAGAGGGCGAGAAATAATTAAAGTATATGAAGTGGGGAAGAGAAGAAAATTGAAGGAGCTTGTGGTGCGGCTACAGTTGCCTTACTCTTTTTTTTTTTTTTTTTTTTTACAGTTGCCTTACTCTACCAACCTTGTAATCGTTGTTCCTGGAATCAAAACCAAAGCCAAAACATGGATCATAGTTGGCATAACGTTGACGGTTGCGTTCTGTGCAGGTTGTGATGGGTTTGGGAAGCACCACGTGTTTTCGAAGCCAGGGGTCCCAAATAAGGATAGTTGCAGAATCTGATGGTGAATAGTGATCAGTAGAACACACAAGGCCATTGCATGTGCCAGCAAACAATATGCTACCTCCGGCCCTTAATATAAAAGCTATTTGACTAGTTTGAGTAAATTAAGAAAATTAGTTGAGTTAGTTATTTGTAATAAACATATATTGTCTTTTCTAAAATATCCTTATTGATTAAGTGTCTTGGCTAGAATTACTATTATTATAAGGATTACCTTGAGAAAAAATATATAAATATGAAAGACAAAATAGATTAGGATCTTATATTTAAAATTAAAATAAAAGTTAAACGAGATTTTATATTAAAGACAAGAGGTAGTATAATAATCCCATCGAAATAGATGAGAGAGTGGGAATATTTCTACAGAGCAGTGATTAGTTTGTTGATTATTGAGTACAATGAATAAATATCCTTTAGATCCACGCCATACTTTGGCCCTGTCCTTTTTTTTTTTTTTTTTTTTTTTTTTTGGCCGAAGCCCTGTCCTTTCAAAAAGGCAAAACTGCAGGAAGAGTCACCTATTTTAATTTTATAAATATACAAATTTTATTAAAATAATTGTTTTGGTGTTTTTAATTTAAAATGTTTTATTAAAATATTTTTAAAGGTTTTAGTTATATATATAAATTTTGACATAATAAAATTATTTATATGTATTTTTCCCAGAAAATAATCATAAGAAATGAGAGACTACTAATTGGGAAGGATAAAATAAATAATTTTTCTTTTTAATTAAATATAAATATTTTAGTCATTTAAAAATTTTTAATTAGGTCTCATGATCTGATTAAAAATTTATTAAAAGTTCACGCATGAATTTGAATTTAAATATTTCAGTGAGATTTAATTGAAATTTTATGTCTTAAGGTTTTTATGGGTAAGCTTTGTTTTTCATTTGGTTATTTCATAGAAAATTGTCCTCAAGTCCCATGCTTATTTTTCCAGAATTCCAATTGTTTAATTTAAAGTATTGTGTCAAAATTTTGTTTTTTTATATCATTATGGAAAAAGGAATTTGTCATCTTGGAGGAAAATATTGAGAGGTTTATAGTCAATAACTAACTTTTGGACAATTCTTTGCAAAATGTTTTTTCTTCTTATATAAGTAGCATCTGTCAGATTTCTTTAAATAGGACAACTATTAATCCTCGCACGAGAAAAATAATATTAATACCCAAGTCCTTAGGAGCAGACTTGCGTTTGACTAAAAAGCAGACATGTGTTTGACTTATTTTCAAGTTAAGGTCCAAATGGACTACGGATAAATCTAAAATCGACCTGTGTAATTCTTCAGTTCAGACGCATTTATCGGAATGAGCAAGTTTCATATGCAAGTTGGTAGAGCCTAGAGCCTTGCTTAATTGTACAAAAGTCTATTCGCATGGACAATAAAAGTAAAGGTGTTCAAGGCTGGGCCGTCCCGATCGGCCCGTTCCGGTCCCGGTCTTATTGGGACGAGACGGATCCGTCCCGAAATTTTTCGAGACGGGACAAACCGGAATGAGACAAAAAAAGGATCGGGATGGGATGGGACACGGGACGGGATCGTCCCGTCCCGGTTCCCTTTTTTTATAAAAAATTTTTTAAAATTTTTTATCCTATTTATATAATATCATTTTTTTTCATATTTTTCTAAGATTTGAGACTATTGTATGGAACTATAGATATATTTATTTAGATTTTTTATATTTGTTAATGATTTGAGATTATTGATGATTAGAATTTTTAACAAGTTTTTATTGTGTTAAAAGCTTTTGTTTAGAGTTTTTAATGACTATTATATGTAATATTTTGAGCTTTTGTTTAAGAGTGTCCAAACAAATAAAAAAGAAAATAAAAAGATGTTTTTATAAGATTTAAGCTCAAAAAAATATAATTAAAAAAATCATATTTTTTAAAAAAAATAAAAAAAATATTTTCGGGACGTCCCGGATCTGTCCCGTCCCGACTAGGACTGGGCCAACCCCGGGACGGCCCGGGACACTGGACAGAAAATCTGTCTCATTATTGTTCATCGGGACGGAACCGGGACGGGCCTGTCCCGGTCCCAATCCGTCCTATGAACAGTCCTAAATAAAAGCACCATACAAATTAAAAGCAATCACAATAATCTTGGGAGTACCTTCATGTGGGGATATATCAGTTTTATTTGCATTTTATATTTTCTGCTGATATTGATAATGAAAATTTACATAATAATCTATTTGAAAAATTAGGATAAATCCCTCGTTGAGAAATTAATTAGTAAATGAGACTTAAGAATTCTATGTAACTTAATTTTCATAATGTATAAGTTAACTTCTTTTGATGCAATCATTTTCTTTTGTGTAATATACAATTCAATTTTTCTTTGTGCAACTCAATTTCTCTTATATGCAAACTGGCCGTTTATGTCTAAATAATATATTATACAAATGATCTTTTATTCATGCAATTTATATTTTCTTGTGTGCAACTTATATTTTCTTATATAATCAATCACTCTAAAAATTATTTTTTAATTAATTTGTTAACGACGGATTTATTTCCATTTCTCCTATCTTTAAAATTTAATTATTACAATTTGTAGTTATTATTTGACAAGGAAAGGGCTATAATTTTCTCCAACAAATCATGAAACAGTTACTAAGAACTAATTTTTACATTAAAATTCGAAAATAAGATTAACGAAGGATCACGGTATCAGATCAACTTAGAAAACGAACAGATTGAAAACGTTAAAATGAAGTGAAGCAACGTTGGGTTTTGGAGCAACCGAGGATTCTTATCTGTGCAGTTAGTTTTGTCCAGAGAAAATTAAAAAGGAAAAACTATACCACACAGCAACCCCAACTATAAGTTTGGACTTCTGTTACTGTTGTTCGCTTGCTCTTATCGTCTCCCTCCTCCTCCATGTGAGACTGTTTTAGGGTTCGGAGAGTTCCGGCTTGTCATCATTTCTTCGCACCACTCACCCGCATCAGCAACCGGCGTAGGAGTCCTGATTAATTCGATGCCTCCATTGTTGCCCTCATATTTCGGCCGATATTTGACTCCATCTAACGATCTATGGAATATAGCAATTCCTCTGCGTTTCAATTTGATTAATTTCGGAAATCGGAATTTTTCGGTTGTATCGTGCCCTACGGTATGATAAATTGTTTTTGGTTCTCGGACTCTGGGAGGAGTTGGAATTGGATGAGACTCCCCCTATATTTTCTTGGATCTGTGAAAGCTAGTAACGAGTTCTTAGATTGTAATTTATGGGATTTGCATTATTTTTGGAGAGATCCCCATGAATATTCAGGGCATTGAAGATCCAAGTGTGCTGTAAATGGAAGCACGGTGAAAAACTTCTCGACTGTAAGTGATCTGGATGTGCTTAATTTGTCTATGTTCATGCTGAATTTGATCCAACTTAGTCTCTTCTAAACATGTGAGCTAAATTTGTTAGTATGAACTTTGTTTTGTAATTGAAAGCAATGCTCATTTCTTGAGGTATTTACTACTATCTAAGCTTAGTTTTATTCCATTTTCTACTAGGTTCTCCTTTTTCATCAACTTCCTAGCTATAATGTGTGGTATAAATAAGCCCTTCTGACTAGAATCTTGAATTAAGCAGCTGATATCTTTTACTCAAAAACATTTTTCACAAATTCCTTAGTTCATTGTTAGCAATGAGTTTTGATTTCTTTGTCAATATTAGTTTATATTAGCTGAAATGGTTGGAGCTCCTGTACTGGGCTGCTCTTTCCACGTCTGGGGGTTTGATGCATCCAAACGGGATGAGAAAATTATTGGTACGGGGCTTGTCTGCTTGATCGAGACTTTGCCTCGTGTTATCTTCACGTTTGCGAAGAAATAAAATTATTTAATAGATTGAAATTAAGACTTCTATAATCTTTGTTGCTTTTATTTTGCTGTAAGAGAAACTTGAGCTACATGCGGGCATGCACCTGTCAAGTCATTTTATATTCTCATATCATATATTAGTGACTACCATTCTCATTTGCCTGGTTTACAGGTTGAAAAATCTTCCATTCATTCAAGCAGTAATTGCAGAGGATAGAATGTCAAAAGGAACTAGTCTGGTTCTGGATTCATCTGAAAATGGCACAGATTTATCTCAGGATGATATTGGCACCATTGAGGAAACCCCAGAAGAGTCGATTTTGTCTCGGCAAACTTCTGTGAACCTTGTTCCTTTTCTTGGTCAAAGATTTGTTTCTCAAGAAGCTGCTTATGAATTTTATTGCAGCTTTGCAAAACAATGTGGTTTTTCAATTAGACGACATCGCACTCGAGGAAAGGATGGGGTTGGTCGGGGGGTTACTAGAAGAGATTTTACTTGCCATCGTGGTGGTTATCCTCAGATTAAGCCATCTGATGATGGAAAGATGCAAAGGAATCGCAAATCTTCTCGTTGTGGCTGTCGAGCATACATGCGTATTGTCAAAAGGGCAGATTTTGATGTCCCTGAATGGCGAGTGACAGGCTTTAGCAACACCCATAATCATGAGTTATTGAAATCCAATGAGGTGCGTCTTCTTCCAGCATACTGCACAATATCTCCAGATGACAAGAGCCGTATATGCATGTTTGCTAAAGCTGGAATGTCAGTGAGGCAAATGTTAAGATTGATGGAACTTGAGAAAGGCATCAAACTTGGTTGTTTACCTTTCACAGAGATTGATGTGAGAAACTTGTTGCAGTCATTTAGAAATGTTGATAGAGACAATGATGCTATTGATCTTATTGCTATGTGCAAGAGATTGAAAGATGAAAATCACAACTTCAAGTATGAGTTTAAGATTGATAGTAATAACAGGCTAGAGCATATTGCCTGGTCGTATGCCTCATCTATTCAATTGTACGAGTCATTCGGAGATGCTGTGGTTTTTGATACAACACACCGTCTGGATGCCTATGACATGTTGTTGGGGATTTGGCTTGGAGTGGACAATCATGGAATGTCTTGTTTCTTTGGTTGTGCTCTTCTGCGGGATGAAAATATTCAGTCTTTTTCGTGGGCTCTGAAGGTAATTATGAACCTTGTGGAGTTCTCCTGTTATCTATTGCAGGCTTGAGTTATTTGCTATGTACACACCATTTGACCCTTTTTTTTAATTTCTTCTAATTGACAAAATACACAGGCATTATTAAGCTTCATCGAAGGAAAGGCTCCACAAACCATGTTAACGGATCATAACATGTGGCTCAAAGAAGCCATTGCTGTTGAAATGCCTGGAACCAAACATGCCTTTTGCATATGGCACATTATTGCCAAATTCTCTGACTGGTTCTCTGTACTTCTTGGATCACATTATGATGAGTGGAAAGCTGAGTTCCATCGGCTCTACAATTTGGAACTGGTGGAAGATTTTGAGGAAGGCTGGGGGCAAATGGTTGATAAATATGGACTCCATGCAAATAAGCACATTGTTAGCCTATACTCATTAAGGACATTTTGGGCCTTACCATTCTTGAGGTGCTACTTCTTTGCAGGATTGACTGGCACTAGTCAATCGGAGTCCATCAATGCTTTCATCCAACGGTTCTTGGGTGCCCAATCACAACTAGATCGCTTTGTAGAGCATGTATGTGATACATAATTCGTTTCCTTTATTATTTTTGGTAAAGTCCTTTATATTTTCATATTAACTATTAACTAATTAATAATTATTTATACTCGATGCCGTATTTAAATGTCAATTTTTGCAGGTTGCTGGTATTGTCGAATTTAATGACCGGGCTGGGTCAAAGCAAAAGATGCAACGAAAGCTGCAGAAAGTGTGCCTCAAAACTGGTTCACCTATTGAATCCCATGCTGCCACAATGCTTACTCCTTATGCCTTTAATAAACTGCAGGATGAGCTAGTTTTGGCACCACAATATGCATCCTTTCTGGTTGATGAAGGTTGCTTTCAGGTCAGACACCACACTCAGATGGATGGAGGGTGCAAAGTATTTTGGGTTCCTTGCCAAGAACACATGAGCTGCAGCTGCCGTCTGTTTGAGTTTTCTGGCATCTTATGCAGGCATATATTAAGAGTCATGTCAAATAACAACTGTTTTCACATTCCTGACCAGTATGTACCTTCCCGTTGGCGTAGTACCTGTTCATCTTCTGCTAACCCCTTCCGAGGTACAATTTCCAGGGATCATTCTGAAAGAATACAACTTTTGGAATCCATGGCTTCAACGCTTGTCATGGAATCCATTGAAACAGAGGAACGCTTTGGTGCTGCTTGCGAGCAAATCTCCATGGTTTTATCACGTATCAAAACCCTTCCTAGGTCAACACACGGGGTGAATGACATTGCCTATAATTATCAATCAGATTCATTGATTCTGCCGGAGGTGGATGATGCTGATGGTATAATTCATGGTTTTACAGTTGCAAATCCCCATGATTCTATCACTTTAGGAAAACTAAAGGAGAGAAGGGCAAGAGATGGAATTGATATAAGTAGGAAGCGAAAGCACATGTCAGGGCCGTTGTGTGGGCAATATGGACACGATGCATCCGATTGCTCGACGATGGCTGGTGATAATTTGAACGAAGATGCACTAGGTTACTCGTAGGGTGAGGGGAAGAGATATCACATGTACAAAGCTAGTGCATTATTTATACCAATTTTCATTATTCTTTTTCTGTGCTTTAGCTCTTGCAAATTTGATTAGTAATGCGCTGGCCAAAAAAAAAAAAAAGATTAGTAATGCTAATTATCATGTGTGAGCAAAATACTAGCGCAATTCTGGTTACCTTCATGATCATTCACAATCGCTTATTCACCGGAATAGATAGATGTGTTATTCACACGCATTTCCTTAACCAAGAATAAGAATTGCAGGTTCTCATTGAGCTTCGGACCTCCAGTTTGTAATCATGAATATCGTGAATTGTGAATCCAAGTCTGGAAATGAAGTTTTAGGTAACATAAAAATGCTCCGTGGATGGCGTCCTGGGCCATGTGTTTATCTAAATATGCTAAGTGGTAATTGATTACCTGCTGCATACAATGTTTTCCCTGTACTTTTGGATTGGAAATTGATTGAGTGATCGATAATTTATTGTCTCGCGATATCTGAAATTGGATATAGATTACTCGTTGTGTGTGATTGGCATATATTTTCAATTTTTTAATCAAACTGATAACTAGTTCTGGTTTTGCAATTTTCTAATTCAGTCGCAATTTTCTAATCTTGACAATAAGGATTATGTCAAATATTCCTCTGCTCTGCGACAATTAACAACTGCCTTTCATAAATTTTGATCACATTTAATTTTCTGAAAGTGTGATAATCTATAGGATTAGTTCAGACCAATGATTTGCGAGAGGCCTTTTATTTCTAGACCTCTCACCTGGCACCTCTGTGGAGCTGCGATCAATAACTTTTTTTAAGGGGGAAAATGTGCTCTAAAACATTCAGAAAGTTGTTTGGTTGTGTCTGTCATCTCTATCACATAAACTATTATAACCAAAGCCTGACAACTGTCCATGAATGTAAAGTTTGACAATCTGACTGGCGACAAAGGCAGTAGAAAATAAATCTTACTTTAAACTTCCATAATGGCCATAAGTGGCAATTTGCTTGCCTTTGTGAAAACTATAAATTGTGAGTTGTGCCCCATACCTACAGGACTTCATTCTCCCGAGTCATCTGCCAGCGAAACTTTGCTCAACCTGCTTGGCAACGATTTGACGCTGTTATTTGCAGCTTTCCTTCTTCCATTACGACGTTGATGAGACCTCAAAAGAGCTCGTCGTGCCAATTCCTTCCCCATATTGGATTTGGCTGTGCCATTTGTGTGGGATGCTTCTTCCAAAGAGATTCCTTGCTTCATGTTACTGTTACCACCGCTACTTTCAAACCCTCTTGAGCTGTTCTTCTCGGAAGCCATTTCTTTTTCTTTTGAAGATGCAGAACCAGCTAGATCTTGAAGAAACTATGACTCAGATGAACTCTGATGAACCAGTGGTATAAGAGAAAAGCTGGGGATTTGTCAGCTTTTAAGGTGGTTTCTGGAGATATATTCCCCTCATTGATTACAGACCATAGGCATTCAAAGGGAATATATGAAGGGAACAAGTGGGTTCCCAGGACGAGCCAACTTTATGGGATGCACAAGGAATCACTTGTTAAAAAAAAGAAAAAAAAGGTTCATTCATAACTCGGGGAATAAGTTTTTCGGCTGCCTTACATATGAAGAAAGTTATATGTATGCACTTGTGGCATTTTCTATTTTACACATACGATCCACAAATGTGATCTCTCTCCAGCATTTTTACAGGTCGGATGCTTTGTAGATTGTCCATTCATTATCTGAAACTTTGAGAGGCTGTGAAAACTTTCACCTGGAGACAAAGTTCTTTTTATCGTCAAGAAAGAATAATCTTTACTTTGATTGGCTCCGTTGAATCAGTCATACGTAGGCAGTGCAAAGTTTGTGCTTTTATTGGGAGCTGATCTCATAATCAAAAGGGTGCTTTTATATTTGAACAAGGAAGCCCATCTTTTTTTCCCCTTTTCAAATTGAAAGAGGCCTAAATCAGACATGTGTAATTCAACGTACAATCCCTCCCATATAAGGGATTTGTTGCCACTGGGACAATGCATCAAGAGATTAAATTTTGTGTACCAGCGTTATAATATGATAGAAGAGATAATAATATAAAAATAATATACCTAAAATTTAATTGTTATACCTATTTTTCATATATTATATGCAATACAGCAGATAAACCATACTCGTTATTCTAAGAGCATAACTACCCTCCTATATATACTTCCACACATGTCAGTGTCAATCATTAGGTGGCTATTAGGAAAGCACTTTTTGGAATTTTGTAGTTATGCTCCGCACAGCATTATCTTTTCAACGCTTGAACAAAGAATATTAACTATTAAGCCCCAATGAATAATTATAAACCGTCCATCTTTTATATTTGCTTTGCCCCAAATCCCAAGCAGAGAATTCATTCCCTTTCTTTCTTTCTTTCTCCAGAAAGATTTGATCATACCACCAAAAATGCGCTGCAGGATCATATGATCATAAAAATATATAATAAGATCACCTAAGATTGTTTTCATATTTTGAAGGTGGGTTTGAAAGCAATTCCATTAACGCTTACATATAACTAAATAAACTGAAAGGCAAGCATAAAGGCACACGTGTTGCTGGGTAGACAAGCGCAAACAATTGACCATTATCATCAAATATATCTTCGAAGGCGCACTTTTTTGTGCGAAGCAACGATTTCCCTTGTGTGAATGCTTAGCATAAATTCCCTAGAACCTAGAATCTTTGATCCCAAGCAACCTTTACCCCAAGCAATTCTGAAACTCCAATTCCTTCTTTCTCCATATTCTTATGAGCATAACTTAATTAAATGCCCTTGATTCCCTCTTCTTCTTCATCTTCCTATGCTCTTACCACTTCTATTTTGACTCCAACATGCCTCGCAAAATGGCGGTTACGCATGCTGATCTTGAACCTAGCCATGGCAGGATCGATTTGAGAAGTAAAACCGGCGCCTTCCTCGTGGTTTTGACAATCCTTTTGGGCTTCATCTGCTTCACTCTCTGTCTCGTAGCAGAAACCACGCGTTCAGAGGTACAATTTCTGCTTCTGCTTCTTCTTCTTATGTTGCCGTATTCTTAGAGCTATTTTGTGTTTCGCATCTGTAGTAAATTGTATATGTGAAGGTACAATCAAGTTTCGCAACCGACATACCCTTATGGGACACAATATGCTGTGAATGATACTACTGTGGCATGATGAAATATAATTTGAGGAATTTATTCATATGCAAGTTGAAATTTGATGTTATGTCTAGTTCATGCGTTAGACGCATTGAAAACATGGCTAAAGTGTACCAGTATTATAACATACAATTGCCTGGTATCTGTATCAAACACAATGTGACGCTTGAGATATTATTTTATGTCATTGAGTTATACCAGAAATTGATTTGGTGAGTTTATGTGATATTGCAGGCAATATATAGAGGAGAAGAAAAGGGAGGGAAGAACTCAGAATGTGTATACAGTGATGGTGGAAAAGTGCCATTGCTATGCGCTTCTTGTGCTTTTGTTGGTCTAGCAATAGCCGTAGTTATGGAGCATGCTTACTTGATGATTGCTGTTAGTAAATCACCAGCTTTGATTTCATGGGAGGCTGATTATTCTTCTTCCGCAAGGCTTCTAACGTGCCAAGCTGGTTTCCTCTTCGTCTCAACCTGGTATAAGATCAGCCGTAATCAATTTCCCCTTTGAATCCCAATCTAAGATATGCTTAGATATTCAAAACAAATCAGAAACAGTTGAAATATTCTCTATAATCACTATCCCTATATATTGCAGGATATGTTTTGCGGTTGGGGAGATCCTATTACTTGCAGGAGTGAGTGTAGAATCCGGGCATCTCAGAAACTGGAATAATCCCAGAACTACATGCCTTGTGATCAAACAGGGTTTGTTTGCAGCAGCTGGAGTTTTATCCTTGACCACAGTTTTGCTCGCAGCTGCTTTATATTTAACTGCTGTTCGTGCCCAGAAAATTTGTCTGGAACAAGAGAATGTTAGGCGACAAGTTCTGGAGACATCTGCGCTTTATTCTTCTCCTGCAACATCTCCCAGAACCCTACTCATGCCCATTTCAACTATGCCTCGGGAAAATCCCATACCCACCACCACAATAGAGAATCACACCAATGATTATCTTTTGTCTGTGTTTCCCACCCCTTTTAACAAAACCACCAGAATACTGTAAATACTTGGGAGCTTTATCTTTGTTCTGTGTATATTCAGTCTCCGTGTTCATATTTCTTGTTAGTGCCGCCAATGTACTTGTTTGCTCAATTTCTTGAGAGAGCTTTTCCGGGAAAAGTAATGGAATGCTGAGAAAGAATCTTTACATTCGCGTGCAAGAGATATTCTTTACCTGGTTTTTGGAAAAATCTGACAAGAACTGACCTTCCACTCACCCACTCAAACGGGGTGAAAAAAACTCCCAAAGGCCCAGAAGCCCATTAGCGAAACGAAAAGGCCCACGGCCCAAACCCTTCATTCAACGTCCTTAATCATCACGCTTCTCAACTGCCGATATACTCGTAAGAGGTTCCTTACAACCTGGTTTTTCCCACTCTCCTTGAGGACGAAGAAAATTAAAAGCAAGTCAACTAGGAAAAAAAATTTCCAGCAAATTCTGGTAGCAGATAAATCAATTTAAAGTATTTTAAATCTGAATTTTAAGCTTATGCTTTGTCCATGCAGTTAAAATGATATCATTAAATTTTAAATTTGTTAATCTCGTATGTATTAAAAATTTAAACAACACTGTTTAATTCCAAAATTTATCATCCCATGCACCCATGTGTCAAAATTTTTTTGTTTTTTAATAACTCAAAGCATCCTCAAGTCATTTTTGATTTGAGACTAATCTTTGTCAGGTTAAAAATATTATGGTTAAAATTCTCCCAATAAGTGTGTTTTTCAAAATTCAAACTTACATTTTCCTTTGTACAAAAAGTGAAACTGTTTATCATGTCAACCAACAGTTTGTTAGTTCTTAGAATTATTTTAATAACAACTTACCTTTTACAATTTATTATCCTTATGCATATTAAAATCACAAGGGTTAATATAATTTTAAATCTTTTAAGTTTACTCTCATTTTGGTTTTGATTTTTCAAATTTCAAACTACAAATTGTAATCCATCAAATTTCTTTTCATTTATAACATTAGTTCCTATAATCTAATAAAAACCTAAACCACTTTGCCTTTTGAGAGACCTAAATCTATAATTTGAAACTTAGAGAACTAAAACCAAAATGAAGATAAATTTGAGGAATAAAAAATTATATTAACCCAAAAACAACAAATTATTTCATATAGAATTTGTTATTTTATAACCTTTTGCAATTTATGTAAATTTTTAAGCTATGGTCCTCATTTTTTGGGGCTAAACTAGGTTATTATTAAGCTGTAATTTAAGTAAACAATATAATTGTATTTTTTACCAGCCATGAAAATAACAAAAAAATGGTGTATATTCCAAAACAAGATGGTACTATTCATTAAAAAGAAAGCGGTACGCGGCTAGAAAGAATATAATATGATGCAGGTCGGATCCAGCAAATAATCTCCCAAACAACAAACAGATCGTCGTGACCCGTACCGTCCATACAGGTAAATCCAATCATCATCGTCATTAATGATGATCTACGACCCGACCCATCCAGGCGAGATCCGAACCGACGCGACCTACAGTGCTATTTAATTTTAAATTTGCTCAAAAAATCGGAGGCAGTGCTCGCTCGCAAATCAGTGTTTGCTGTTGCAGTTGCCTCTTCTCAATCCAAAATCTAGGGTTTTTCTTCGTTTTCCATTCCTCGATCTTTGAATTCCTAGTTACTCTTGCGTATATATATACGCTGATTGCTGCTAGGGTTGTTAATCGAGCTTTCACGGTAAAACGATGTCGCTCCGGCCGAATGCTAGAACTGAGGTTCGCCGCAACCGCTACAAGGTGGCGGTGGACGCCGATGAGGGCCGCCGAAGAAGAGAAGATAACATGGTCGAGATCCGTAAGAGCAAGCGCGAAGAGAGTCTGCAGAAGAAGCGTCGCGAAGGCCTGCAAGCTCAGCAGCAATTCGCCACTCCTATTCAGGCTTCAACTGTTGAGAAAAAGGTTTCCCCTTCGCATCTCCATTTCTATTCAATAGCATAGGCATTTGAATGGCCTATGTTGCTTGGTAGAAATTAGGGCTTGATCGGGATCTGTATTTATGAGATTCTGGGATGATCATTTTGATATGATAAACGTTCTGTGCTTAATATTTGTCTCTTTGGTTGAATCGCACATGTTGACAAGGTTTGATCTGTTAGGCAATGTAATAGGCTGATAACTGTTGGTCAATTCTTACGTCAATTCCTATTTGCAGTTGGAGAGTCTTCCTTCCATGGTTGCTGGTGTTTGGTCGGATGACAGCAATCTGCAGCTGGAGGCGACTACACAATTTCGAAAACTGCTTTCTATTGGTAACTCTGGATTCTGTCTACGCTAATATTCCTCGCTGTTTCTATGTGACAAAGCTTTTATAGTAATTCGAGACTGTATTTTCCCCGTTTCTGCCATAGAGCGGAGCCCTCCAATTGAGGAAGTTATCCAATCTGGTGTTGTGCCGCGTTTTGTTGAGTTTCTAGTTAGGGAAGATTTCCCTCAACTGCAGGTTTGAATTTCCTTGACTCCGTATCCTGTGGTATTCTTTTAAATCCTTAGTATGTGTAAAGTTTGTTATGCTTTCTAATGATATGTGTGTGTGTGTATATCACTTGTATGTGTTTAGTTTGAGGCTGCATGGGCTCTTACTAATATAGCATCTGGAACATCTGAGAACACCAAAGTGGTAATTGATCACGGGGCAGTCCCAATATTCGTTAAGCTACTCAGTTCTCCAAGTGATGATGTTCGAGAGCAGGTATATTGATATTTGAATTTGAATATGGCTTTACAACAATTGTCTTTTTTGTATGTTTATTGAACTCTTATGAACACATAATTTCTAAACTTGCAGGCAGTGTGGGCATTGGGAAATGTTGCCGGTGACTCCCCTAGGTGCCGTGATCTTGTTCTCAGTCATGGTGCTTTAGGCCCCTTATTGGCCCAGTTGAATGAGCATGCAAAGCTTTCAATGTTGAGAAATGCCACGTGGACACTATCCAATTTTTGTAGGGGCAAGCCACAACCCCCATTTGAGCAGGTGATTGTTTCCCATTTATCATTATAACGACCCCCAACTCAACCTGGTAATTGTAGCTGTAACATAAAATCTTGTTCAAGTCCTGTTTGGCATTCACTTTATACTGTAAATTTGGTGGGCAGGTGAAGCCAGCACTTCCTGCTTTAGAGCGTTTGGTTTTTTCCAATGATGAAGAAGTCCTGACTGATGCATGCTGGGCACTTTCATATCTATCTGATGGAACAAACGACAAAATCCAAGCAGTTATTGAAGCAGGCGTTTGTGGCCGATTAGTGCAGCTCCTTCTGTGAGTATTAATTGTACTTTACATAGACTTTATTGCTTTGATGGTTTGTTGACATAGCAATAAAATTGGTCACATGCTTTTTCAGGCATCCAGCTCCTTCAGTTCTTATCCCTGCTCTTCGCACAGTGGGAAATATTGTGACTGGAGATGATATTCAGACTCAGGTAAGGGCTTGTCAAATCTTCATAATTACTTGATACATGTATTCTGTTAAATGGGCGTACTTTAATTCTGTGCGATTCTATGCCGCTTTGTCATGTTGCAACTTTCTCAGCAGCTGAGCATCAATATTGACATTAACATATCGAGGAACTTGGGCAGTTGAGCTCCGCCTGAGTAGGAATAAGATTAAAATATGATGATATTTAAGGTTCCTTGAGAGTAGAGTTGGTTTTGTATTAGTATGAATTGTGGAAATAGTTGTAGGTGCTCATAGGCACTGAACTACACTGTACATGAAAGGGGTAAACTCAAGTTTTCAGCCATTTTTAAAGTAAAATTAACGGCAAATTGAGTGAACCAGCTTAATGTCGATTCAGAAGCTCATTATCTAGTCTGAAACCTTTATGAAGGCCATGCTTGGCCTGATTGACTCCTGGGCTGCTGGCTTAACTTTTGTCTGCCTTAGAAAGACTGAGCCCAAATCTTAACAAAACGTGATACAAAAGTGCTAGAAGTCTAGCCATGATAAAAGGCATCATACTGAAACAGAAAGAGAGCATAACTTTGCATGGGAACAGAGGGATGTCTGGTAAGGAGTAGGTGATATGAGTGGATTCAGCATACTCTGAAGCTGTAATGTCATGGTAATTTAGCCGTCTGCGTAAAATGTTTAAAATCAGATTAACTTTATTTGTACAGGTGGTTGGTTTTGGCCCAGTGTTTAGTTGTTAAGCATCTAAACTTGGAATCTTTTTTTTTTGGGGGGGGGGGGCGCAGGATGACTTAAATTTGTTAAAATGAGTCTTTGTATCCTTTAAATAAATATCTTATCCTGTCTTGCGTCATTAAGATATACAGTTGGCCATGGTTTTCCGCTTCAATAACGTTATTCAGTTATATGGTCTTCTGTTTCTATATTTGGAATTTCATCAGTTTGATTTGACCCTTCTTTTTTTAATTGCTAGAGTATTATTAATCACGGTGCACTGCCATGCCTTTTGAGCCTGTTGACACATAATCATAAGAAAAGCATCAAGAAAGAAGCCTGCTGGACCATATCAAACATTACTGCTGGAAACAGAGAGCAAATACAGGTGAGGCGATTATTGCTAAATATTTGAAGTTCGTGTTAAGAAATTTCTTTCTTTGATATCCTTGCTTTTAAAAAAGGAAAGTGATTTTTCTGTGGTTTGTTTCCCTCTTGGTAAAAAGAAGTTTCATATGTACTTGAGATTTCATTTTGAGAAATTGAGCTTTTATGATGAATAGACTGCTTGTGAAATATTTAGTTTAAGCCCCTTGTTGTACTAACAAACGTGGGGCGCAACAAATGCTTGGTGATCTGGTGGAAAAGGTTCTACTTTTATACAATCTTTAGTCTTGAAGTTTGCCAACTGAAGAGAATGATGATGGTTTTTTGGTCCTCCCTGGACCTTACATGATTATATTTTTTGTAGACTACGAGGTATTTTGACTGAATAAAAATTTATAGTGAACATTTGTAGAAACTATTATGTTAAGTAGCTGCCAGATACCTTCATGCTGTCTTGGATGAGTTTTTGTTTGTTTCTGATTATTAAGTATGAGTTATTCTCTTGATTTATATATTGAAAAAGCTCACTGGAGTTTTAATTTTTATAACTCATAGGCTGTTATTGAAGCCGGTCTGATTGCTCCACTTGTCAATCTCCTTCAAAATGCTGAGTTTGATATAAAAAAGGAAGCTGCATGGGCAATCTCAAATGCTACATCTGGTGGTACTCACGAGCAGATAAAGTATGTGATGCCTGTTTTGTTGGTTATGCTGCATGGGCATTTTACCTTGATTTTATGATATTGACTTGCTCTTCGGTGATTACAAGGTACTTGGTGAGTCAAGGGTGCATAAAGCCGCTATGTGATCTGCTTATTTGCCCGGATCCAAGAATTGTCACTGTCTGTTTAGAAGGCCTAGAGAATATTCTGAAGGTTGGGGAGGCAGAGAAGAGCCTAGGTAATACTGGAGATGTCAACTTGTACGCGCAAATGATAGATGATGCTGAGGGATTGGAGAAGATTGAAAACCTGCAGAGTCATGACAACAATGAAATATATGAGAAAGCTGTAAAAATCCTCGAGACATACTGGTTGGAAGAAGAGGACGAGACGCTGCCTTCAGGAGATGGTGCTCAAACTACTTTCAATTTTGGAGGCAGTGAGAATTCAGTCCCATCTGGTGGATTCAACTTCAGTTGAAGGCCTGTTCAGGAGAGGGTAAATGCTCTGCATGACACTTAACTTCTGCGTTGGTCGTATGGTTTAATTATCAGCAGTATTATCTGAATCTGATCGCAACAATTGCAGGGACTTAGTCAGATGGAGAAGGGGTTGATTCTGGGGTGGCTGTTGGGGTCGAGTCGGGGTCGGGTCATCTTACCTCATGGTGTGAGGTTTCAGTCTGGTCTTGTGTCCGTGGTCTAATGAGGTGCAGGGGGTGGGTGGGTCAGTCTACACTGCCATGTCCAAATAAGGAAGAAAGGGAGGGGGTCGTCGGGGTCGGTGGCAGCATAATGACCTAGTCAGCGGTGTTTGTTGTATTAACTATATATGCCTGGGAGAAAGTTTCCAGGAGGTTATATGTTGCATTAGCAGGGACCCGGATTATGTGGCAATGGGAAGGTTTTCTTGAGTGCGGCTCTGAGTCTTTTTTTAAGAGTCTTAGTTATTGTATTGGTAATTTCTGCTGAGTCAGTGTTTCAAAATTTGGTTGCGTATAGTATTTAAAAACTGCTTATAGTGTATTCCAAGGAATTAGTGCTATTTTTGTGCGTACTATCTTGCTGGGCACTGCCGAGCTTTTGCTTTAGACTTCAGTCGTTTCGCACTAGTACCTGGAATTTAAAATAAGCTGATAGCGAGTGAACTGGAACATTACGCTATGGTCTAATATCAAAGCAATATAAATAACCATGTTGAAGTGCAGGCTGGATGAACATAGTCCGGTAATACGAGTCTCTAAGCTACGGATCCTTAGGTCAATTTGGACATTTCCGTGAAAATGCCGCTCAACTAAAAGGGTGTTTGGATATAACTAAATCATAGTTTGGAGAATAGCTTGTGAAGAATAGCTTTTGGAGAGAATAGATTTTGTGAAAAAATGATTCTGAGAAGTGAGAGTGTTTAGATAATTGTTATCAGAAACACTTTTTACATGTACAAATTACTAAAAAAAGTATAAGTTAATATGATAATTACAGAAAAAATATGTTTTATGATATATTTTAATTTGAAAGAATAAAATTGTTAATAACATTTTTTATTAACATAATTAATAATACATAAGATAATATAATTAATAAATAATTAATATGTATATATATTTATAAAATATAAGATTAAATATATTTATAAAAAAATATGTTTATAAAAAAACAACAAAATACATATCTTATAGGCTCTCATACTCTTTTTTTTTTTTTTAAAAGCAAAAAAATTTTGTTTTTTCCAAAACCATGGTTTTGGGTTTTTAAAGGGTGTTTGAGAGATTTTTTCTCAAACCATGATTTGGGTTGGATCCCAAACACCCCCTAAATAAATAAAGCGAGATGCAAAGTGAACGCGGGGCACGTTTTCTTTTCGTGATTGATTTATTGTAATTTATTTTTTCCTTACTACCTTCAATCTTTAGTATAATATTTAGTTTGCAGTTTGAATTTCAAATTTGATTTTATATCAAGGATTGAGTGTTGGTACGTTATAATCGAGACGCCTAAAGGCTCTTAGTTCTTGGTTCTTAATTTGTGGGTGAGATAAGTCTTGTAGAATGCGCGATGAAAATATGGTATGTCGATGCAACTGTTGGCAAGCAAGGTTAACACCATCAGTGGCTTAGTTGGATTTAAGGGTCCCTTGCTTGTATGATTGCGGGTTAGCTTGTATGCGTATGAATCCTATTTCCATATGTCATCATGTGTCCTCGTACCGGAATATCAAGATTTTACAAGTTAAAATTGTATGAATGCTGAAAATATTCAATTAACGGGAAGGTCGAAAATATCACAAGGAACGGGGCATTTCCCCAAATTACAAAAAAAAAAAAACAAAACAAAACAAAGATCGACAAGGTTGATATTATAGGGTGCAATTAAAATGAGGAAAAGGAAAGGGGTGGAAGTTAGGGCGTGGTCCCTTGTCGCTGGTACATATGCACAAGGGTAGCGGGAGCTTCCATTTTCATGCCATCACCACATATTGTAGGAGTAAATATTTAGAGTCTCTTTCTGTGGTGCTATCCCTTTCTTTTCTTCCTCCTTGTGCTGTACATCACATGACTCCTTTCTCCATCTTCGTCCTCATCTTCAATTTCTGCTTCTTTGCAGGTCCTGGCCTCATCTTCAGGCCCCTTCTGATTCCCGCATTCTTGATATTTTATACTTTTTTCGAAGCAAAATGAGAGTTTACAAGATTCAAGTTTACAGAACTGAATAAAATGATAAAAATGAGAAAGTAAAACGATCCTAATCGTAGTAGTTGAAAATGTTTACAAAAGGTGGAGAACATCTTGGCCAGCATTAGTTTGCAGAGCCCCTTTGGAGCGAATGAGTTGGAGGAGTTGATTCTTAATGCACAAAATAGCCAATCAATCCCCTGTTGATGCTAGTGGAAAACCATATTTATGTAACCAACAAAGTACACCACAGAGGCATTGCAGAAGAAAAAGATTATTACTTGCAACTCCTTCCCCCCCCCCCATATGAATTGTTGAACTAGAAAATCATGGCCACAAATTATGAAATGACAGTAAATATGCCTAAAGCGCTCTTACTTGTGGATTAGAATGATCATTCCATCTCTATTGTAGTTGAATCGCAGAGTTGCAAGGAGCAGAGGAAATGGATGCATTGAGCTTTAATAAATCGCTGCCAGAGAAAGCCAGAGCTGAAAAGGAAACAGAATTGTGAATTTCCTGAACGACTGGATTGGGAGAATAAATTTCATCTTGCGTGCATGTGCAGCGTGAGACCATCTTTGTGAAGCTCCCTTAACCATGAACTAAAACTGGTGATATATTATATTGAGAAATTTTGATGAGACAACTACCAAACCATATTACTTCGTACAAAGGCAAAAGCTGAATAAATATTCCAGAGATTATTCTTATTGACAACAAAAAAGACAAAGACCGTTTATATTCGGATGATATTTTTATACTCCAACACATACATACAATTCTGGAATTTGGCTAGCCTAATTCTAAACTAAAATCCTAACTCTCCCAACACTTTCATAGACCAATAACTTAAAGTAATAGTGTGTCTGGGTCCATCATTCGTTAAAAAACAAAAAACTTTCAATCTGAATTACTCTTGCAATCATGGCCTTTTGAATAAAACAAAATTGGCCCATAGTCAAAATTAGAAATGCCATTGTGGCCTGAATAAAACCAATGTACCCTCAAGCCTCGAACTGCATTATAAATTAGGCTTGCTTATATAATATCCACGTATTTTGAAGAAATATTCATTAGGAGACAGTTTTCAGTATAAATAACTATAATAACATTTTAAAAACATGAACACACATTTTTTTAATCAATAAATGATTTCAAAGTACATGCTGATGAATGGTCCATGAAGCCCCAGCCAATCTGAAACTCCATGATGTACTCTGTAACCAAATCTGTCATGATCAGGCTTTCACAACTACGGAGGATACGCGGCATGAAAAATGAAATTGAAAAATAGAACTCTCTTTAATCAATGTGCAATATAAAATATAAAATTAAAAATGATTTATGATATTCACAAACTTTTAATTATACATTTATTTTCAAATTTAATGTAATATAAACAAATGTGTCTAATTATCTCTCAATTATAGACAAATCATAATTTCAGAAACTTGATAAGGATAACAATGCCATTTTCACTCTAACTTACTTATATCATTAAAATTTTAATTTAATTTTGTGTTTGATGGAAAATTTTGAAAATTAATGTAAGTTTAAAATATACATAACCTTGAAGACTTTAACATGAGAATCTTCATATTTCATATTTTGACTAAAAATTTCCTTACGACTAAAACTGCAACTAAAATTGATAGTGTACACCACCTTACTGTTTTTTCTTAATCACTTGCCATATCACTCTAACAAATCCAATGTGGAATTTTGGGTATCTTAACAATTTGACGTGGACAAAAAAATTGAACCTCATATCTTCTTCAAAAATCAATCTGTGTTCTCTTTAATTTCCAGAGTATTAAGTGTTTGCGGATATAATTATTGAAGAATTGGTTCATCTTTAGAAATATCACTTCCAATCCTAAATAGTGAAGCTAAAGAAGAGGTTTGTTTTAATTCTAACTTCATCTTACTTCACTTTATCTCTCAAAATTATAATATATTTTTTTCTAAAATATTTTCTTTGTTTGCACATATTAAGAAAGTTTTCATTTCAAAATGGTTCTAATGCATATGATTAAAAATAGTAATTTAAAAAAACTAATACATATTTGTTATTGATAACTAATTAAGTAATTTTTTTTAATATTCGTAAGTTATTTATGTGACTCTTATATTAAATATCATATATTTGTAGCCATGCCAGGTCAACTCTTGATTACTCCATCTTTAAAAATATGCGTAGAATCAAGGAAAGGGAATTGATTTGGTAGGAAAGATGAAAGATGTAAGGCAAGGTATTTTTAGGAGAGGTGACATTAGTAGCCATATGTACTTTTATGTCTAACTACCAATAAAATTTCCTCGTGAGATTTGTTATATTGATATGGCAAAATTATCATTAAAAAATAATAAGGTAGCATAAATTTTGTTACCTTCAACTGTAACTTTAAATTTTTAGACAAAATGTAAAACAGGATTATCTTAATTTTAGATGTTGAGACGATAAGAGTGGCAATTGCTGAAAAATCAACAAACAAATAGAATGTGCTTTCATGACAAGAAAAGTAGGTTTTCGGGAGTAGTTGAGATTCCTCAAAAACATTTTAAAAAATATTTATACGTAAATCAAGACAAAACTCTTCTCATATATTTATTTTAAACTTTTTAAAAACAATTCTAAAAAACCAATTTAAACATCGATGAATGTTTTTGTGGCAGGGTGGACATGCCGTTTGCAGTTTGCCTCATCACTTCTCCACTCCATTATTACCATTATAAACCCTAAACCCATCATAGCATTCCACGTGACCTCGTATCTTTGTGTAATCACCCATGCATAATTACCGTAATTATTTCCTTTCAACCCACTAATTGAAAAACCCTTAATAGACATTTTAAAAATCTGAAGTCCTAAAGTTTTATTATTATTCCTCTTATCTGGTTTGGTCATGCTTTACCTTTACACAAGACTAAGAACTGACAACAGAATACTGACTCGGTGTATTTGTTTAGTGTACTCCCATTTCCATAGACTCAAAGTGGCAAACAAAACACATTATTCTGAGGCATTTGGGCAAGAAAAGTGATGACACAGAGAAAATGCAAGCGTGGGGGGGGGGGAATGCCATTATTAATAATAAAAAGGGCGAATTATTTAATGATAAAAAAATACAAGGGAGAACAGGGAAGGAAGCCAAAAGAGGGATGTTTGGTTGACCAATGAAAAGGTTAGAGAGACAGAGAGACAGAGAGAGAGAGACAGGGAGATGGCAATCTGCATCTGCAGTCCAACAACATAAATAAATAAAACATCTTCGCTTACAAACGCCAAATTTTGCAGTACAATAAAGGCTCCCAAAAAACAAAACAAACACCTCTCCCTTCTTATTTATTACTATTATTAACAGCAAATAATCCAACCTCTCGCCCATATTAACACTCAAC